ACGCCTGGCTTGATTGAGCATAAAATGCTAGAAGCAGGCAAAATGCAAACGTAAACTAACTGAAGGACTAATAGAAAAGAAAGGTACAAAGTCAGGAGAACCAACAACCATGAGTCATACAATATTCAGTGCGGTGTGCAGCACTTTGATCGGCCATGTACTGTAGTAGCACCTACAAAGATCATGCACAAACATCACCGCAGTTCATAAAAAGCAACTGATGTATGGAATCGAGCATGAGTACGAGGACGAAAGTGCGGAATCGGAGCCCGACGCGCGCTAGCGCGGAGGGCTCCGATTCTAGCACTTGAGTCCGAGTACGAATGCTTTGATACCATTTCTGACATGCATTGCACGAACTACTTCGTACTACTAGTACTACTACATGTAGTACTTCACACATACCTAGTACCTACTCAAGGCACGCACACTAGACCAGACAAGGAACACAACTAGTCGCCAGTTTAGTACTTCAGACATGTTACATAATGACTAATGTACACAGTCACAACACAGAGATAAAACAAGGGCGGTCTAGTCAGCTAAAAACCAGGTCAGTTCAGCTTCTCTTCTTCGCAGTGACTACAGCCTACAGCCTACAGGTGCAGGTGAACATTGCAGTTTGCACCAAACTGAGCTCCGGAAAAGTTGATGGTCTTCGTAGCTTTCTGCATCAGAGACCGTTGGTGAGTTGGGGATTGCACTGTTGGGTCACAAGTTGCGATGTACTCATCAATGTCGGGATCGTGGAACTCAGTCTGCTGCTGTGATCGCTGAACGCTCGTTGTTGGCGCTGTAAGAGCACGGGTAGCAGCATTGGTTGCAGTTGGAGACTCTCCATCCAGAACTGCAGCCATCTCTTTTCTCTTTTGTTCTGAATTCCTGTTGGCATATGCGGTCAACGACTGGACCTGGCGATGTCCCGTCGTCCCCATGATCGCTGTCTCCGACACGCCCGCATCCACAAGCTTCTGCACTGCTGTTGCGCGGACACAATGATTTGTGTAGGATCTCGAGAGGTTGGCTTTGTTGGAGATCCTTTTCATCATAGCCTTTATGGTGTTCTTACCCAGCGGTAAACCATTGAAGGCTTGCGTTCCGGGCTTTACAGAGCGAGATGCTATCTGAAACAGTCTCTCGCTCTTCGGGCTGAGAGACTCCAGCAACAGCTTTACGGCATGGACTTGCTCTGGCTGCTGGATGCGACCGTCGCTTGGTTTATCAAAAAAAAAAAAAAAAAAAAAAAGCGGCCTCTGATGGCTGAATCGGAGCACGCCTAGGCGTGCTCCGATTCAATCGGAGCACGCCTGGGCGTGCTCCGATTGGAAAATCGGAGACCTGCAAGCGCTCACAGGTCTTCAGTGGCTGATTCAAAGCACGGCAAGTCGCGCTAGGATTCGCTGTTGCCATGTCGATTGTCATGTGACATGTCAGAAATGCGATTTCTTTGCTCCTTGTAGCAAAATATGCTACATTTGGGGTTATGCGAACTTGGTTCAAAGGACCAACATATGCCACGAAACGGCGAAAGTATGCGCAAGCATTTTCGGGCCCTCCCTATACCTGGCCTATCAGTGATGGTCCGGTTCAACAAAGAAGCGCTGAAACATTGCATCAAATCATCATGACAAGTGCACTTCTCCAAGTATGTGGCGGCACTCGGAGCAATGCACTATGACTGTCACGAATGCTGTGCGAAGGTACTGTAGAACAAAAAGGGCAATAATTTGTCTCATTCCAAGTTTGTTCCTTTAGTTTAGACCTTATTCGATAACGTGACTTTTGGACTCGCCTCCAGGGATTTGTCATAAGCTAGGGCACGCGTACGAGAAACGAGTGGCAAGAAAGGCCCAGTTTGTACAAAAGAGTAGTAAAATACCGGTATTTATCTACTCATATGTTCGCACACAGAGTCCACTGTGCACTGAGCGCAGATCTCTTGCCACTCCCTGGTTCCCGGGACCCCGGTTCACGTGATTGTGACGTTTATCGAATAAGGTCTATAATATTTTGCTCTGTGAACAACACTGAACATACACACATGTTGTATTCATTCATCAGTGTCCGAGACATGACTGTACTTCCGTCAAGTACGCATGACTTTACAGTTGTGCTGCAGTGTTGTCTATTTCTGCTCCTTTTTGGTTGTGTTTTTGGCATCATTGTATGCACAATAACTCAGTTTCGGTGGAAGTGCGCGAGTTCGGGGATAAAGGAGGAAGGGAGCGTCTCATCTTCCTCGGACCAAGACCATTCGAATAAGCACCCCGAAGACTACAACTGGTGAAAATTAGATTTTAGGCTTAACCTTCCCCCAAAAGCATGCCTCTAATTACATTTTCATTGAATTTTGCTGTATTTGAGTAGGGTTCCAATTTACTCACCACATTCTTCCTTTCATGCAATGATTGTTTTCAGTACTTGAGAATTGTGTTCTACTCCTCCATAAATTGCAAATTGTGTTTTGCTTGCCCGTAAAAGAGGTTCTGCTTTCATGAATATAATCGCGGTACTATACGACTCCCTGATCTGTGCTATTAAAATTGCACTGCGTACAGGTGACAACTATGTTACTTGAAAAACAATCATCTGAGAGACACCCATGGACCATGATGCTCCAACAAGTGTATCGTAGTATGCAACGGACGACTCAGAGTCATATCAGAGTCATCATCATAACAGTAACCTAGCCTTTGGACCAGGTATCTTCTAAATACAGTCGTCCCTCTCTAATCCGGCACTTTATAATCCAGCACCCTCGATAAACCAGTACAATTTTCAGTAGCCAAAATGTCCTCTTCATGCACATTGCAGCAGTAAATCAGATTTGTTAATCCAGCACCCTCCCTAATCCAGCAGATTTTCGTGGCACAAATGGTGCCGGATTATAGAGGGACCACTGTAGTACAATACGAAAGTAACGAGACAAGTTTTGTACTATTTTCGCATGCATGTATGCACCGGCAACAAACGAATACTTGAATCAAGCCATAACAGTCCGTGCGCCAGACCATGTTTTGGCCCGATTTTTATTTTCTGCGCGGGAACCATACATGCAGACGTTATGCAGGGAAAGATGACGACGCCGGTCAGTTAATTGTTGGTCGATTTGTTGCCTACCTCGAGGCCAGTCGGTGAAATGAGGGCTTCCTTCTTCAAGAAATATGTTGCCAGTCGTTAGTCGGATGTCACTCGTCTTCTAAACATCGTACTTGATGCAACCAGCGCAGTTGGATGGACGGGAGGCGAGGAATTTATCGTTTTCGATTTTCACCCTATTCTGGGTTGCCATTACATTGCAGCTGGCAGCACCACGAGGGATTTTTGCACAAGGGAGACTAGGTGAATTCAACTCCTCAGAGATATCGCCATGACAGGGTAAGGTTATTTTAGCCCTGAAATTGTGTACAAACCAACGGCACGAAATTATGGAAATATTTATTTTTTCGCAATAATTGCATGTTGGTTGAAAAAATGCAGCCATTTTGTATTGTGGCATCCTGGCGGTGTATTTCGTAACTATACTGCATGACAATATTATTTATGAGAAATGGCAGCGATTGCAGCGATTGTGAACAATGTACAATCAACAGCATTGGCAAAATTGATGCAGAGCTGTATGGTACTTTAGTACAATTTGCCTGTATATTGGTATTTTACACACAATGCATGAAACAGAAGAGCAAAATTATTATTGACTTATCAATTTATAGTTAGGACATGAATATGAAACCCATGACCAATGCCAATGACCCAGGGCCTGTGCACCTGCATTCAAATATATAAAAAATCCCTTGTGGCATAATCATGTACTCTGTGCATACACATGCTTGGGGGGCGATACTTGCTGCTTTAGGCTAAATTAGGGCTGTGGAAATTGTGGTGCTATGCTGCTTGGTATGTGTGTGTGTCTGTGTGTGTGTGTCTGTGTGTGTGTGTGTGCGTCTGTGTGTGCACACTTCACTTTCCGGCTGTGTATTGATGCCTATGTAGATATCACCATGATCAACAGGGTCAAACGCTTCCAGCGGACAACAGTGGATCACCTCATTTCTCCCACTGGAGTAGTCCTAGCTTGAAGTGATGTATGACTATCAATTCTATTGACTAGCCTTGAGGCATGTACCAAACGTCAGCATGTCTGTGATATCAATACATCACACTTACATTTGAAAGCTATATGCTGGAAGGCAGTCAAGTGGGCTTTTCGTCAAACACAACCCTACCAATGAAATGAAGGCAACGGGCAGAGACCACTAATGGTAGGGCCACACAAAGTGGCTGTGCCAGTGGGGAAGACCTAGCTCAACAAGGTGTTATTGCAAGTTTGATCGGAACAGCACCCTGGTCCAAATCCTCAATATCAGTGAATCTTACTGGTCCATGTGGCTGCTGCCTTGACTCGTGATGCCTACGATTGGATGCAAGCTGCACGAAGTATGTTGCGAAGGCTCGCTTTACTGGATTCTACTATTTCTAGACTGTATTCTTCAGGCTCACTTCAGGCTCGACTCGCATTGCAAACTTCTGTTGTTATTGTGTTTCCAACTAACCAACTACTAAAGAGGAACACTACTGAAGACTAGCCGAAAGGGAAAGGCACCTGCGTCTTATAACAGCAGGGCAACATAAAGCACAGCAGGCCGAGCAGGGCGGCATAAAAGGCACATGTGAAACCAGAGACCCGGACCCGTCAAAGCATGCAAATGAGGGCCGCTCTATCGCCTGACATGAATGCATACAAACCAGTATACATGACCATGCGTGCACATCTCCCCCTTCACTCACGAAATGGCATATGAGTGAGTACATGAGCAAGGCAGTGCAGCAGCAAGAATGAGCGCACCGGAAGGCAGCACGTGGAAAGTGCAGACGGACAACCACAAGAGAAAACATCAGACACATCAGAAAAGACTAGAGACAGCACACCAGTGTCAGAGCACCAGCACTCTAACTAACAGAACAGCGCAGCTAACTGTCTGTCTCGACCGGGCGTCGCCTCACTCCACCGGGAGCGGAATGAGGCGTTGGATGGCTCGCCGGTAGATCTTACCCCGGATCTCAACATCCACCACCCTGACGCAACTGTCTGGTCCGGGGAAGACACGCCTCACCCTGCCCAGTGGCCAACTGCCCCGGGGTGTGTCGGGCTCGATACACAGCACCACCTCATCGACAGCGATGTTCTTCTGCGTCTTGCGCCACTTCCTGCGCTGGTTCAGCAGTGGGACGAACTCCAGGAGCCATCTCCTCCAGACCTCCTTCACTGTGCGCTGCACGACGGCGAAGCGATCTCTGGGGTGGACTTGCTCTGTGGCGTTCAGTTTCTCTTCCAACGGCAGAGGTGGGTCGCAGCGTCCTGCGAGGAAATGCTGCGGAGTCAGCGGCTCGAGGTCGGCGGCGTCGGCACTGACTGTTGTCAGCGGACGGGAGTTGATGAGGTCCTCTGCGGCGACGATGGCGGTGTGTAGCTCCTCATCAGTGAGCTCAGCGGTGGCCAGTGCGGATCTCAGAGCGCGCTTCGCTGCCTTAATCATAGCTTCGAAGACGCCTCCAAAATGCGGTGCTCTGGGTGGGTTGAACCTCCACCGGATGTGTCGATCAGCGAGACTGCGCGCGATCTCTGCGCGATCGAGCTGCTCCACGGCTTCTCGTAGCTCCCGTTCAGCCGCGACGAAATTTGAGCCGTTATCGGTGACGATGATGCTTGGCGTGCCGCGCCGCTTAACAAAGCGGTTGAACGCCATGAGGAACCCCCCGGTATCCATGGAGTAGGTGAGCTCCAGATGGCAGGCACGGGTTTCCAGGCACGTCATGAGACAGAGGTAGCGCTTCGCTCGGGTTCTGCCTCGTCCTTGCTTTGTCTGGAACGGCCCGGCAAAGTCGATGCCGCAGTGCGAGAATGGTTGGAGAGACCCGGCAGTCCGAAAGTCCGGCAGAGCGCCCATGATCTGCGCCGCCGGTACACCCCAGTTCTTCCGACACGGAACGCACGACTGGCGTGCCGTCTTGACTGCTGATGCCCCGTTTACTATCCAGAACCTCTCCCTCAGGTTGGACAGCAGATGCTGAGGTCCCACGCTGTGGCGGCACCTCCGGTCCTCCTTCTCGATCAGCAGCCGCGTGACAACGTGCTTCTGAGGCAGGATGATCGGTAAGCGTACACGATATGGCAAGTGTTTCGCAGCCTTCAAACGGCCTCCGACCACCATCAGCGGTTCAGCATGTTGATCTAGCGTCGGGGTTAGCGCCGCCAGCGGGTCGCTAGCCTGCATTGGCTTTCCGGCGGCCAGACGCTCCAGGGTTGGGCCGTACGCGTCCTTCTGCGCCTGTCGTATCCAGTGCCTCTCAGCGCGGCCTACCTCACCCGCCGTCAGCTCTGGCACGTTGACAGTAGGGTAGTTCGAGTTGGCTGCTCGCGAAGTCGACACTGCAACGGTGACGTCTTGATCGCTGCTGGTATCCTCCCCCTTCATGCCGACGCGCGGCTTGCGGCGGCATCGGCTGACAAACCGGTAGCACCACGCAGTCACCCTGAGCAGCTGCTCCCAGGTGCGGTATCTGGACGCCTGGAGGCGAGTGGTTGACGTGACGGCAAGCGTGAACGTGGTCTCCCGCTGGATGACGCCTGGCAGACCTTCTGTGGACGCTGACTTCTCAGGCGGCCATACGTCTGGTTGCTGCGACAGGAATGCGGGTCCGTGCCACCACACCCGGTCCTCCGCCAACTCCTTCGCTGGTAGCCCACGGGTACCCTTGTCGGCGGGGTTCTGCTTGCCGGGTACGTGCCTCCACTGGGAGGGCTTCGTGGCGTTCTGTAGCTCTGAGACGCGGTTGCCGATGTCGACCTTGAACCTGCGGCTGTGCGAGCGGATCCACCCCAACACGTTCATGGAGTCCGTCCAGAACGTGTGCTCGGCGACCGGGATGTCCAGAGCGTTGCCAACTTCGCTGCTGGTCCGCAGACCCAAGACGGCGCCGCGAAGCTCCAGCTGGGGGATGGTCTGCCGACGAGCCGGGGCTGTCTTGGCCTTGGCCATGGCGAGCGTCACCCGCACATTGCCGGCTGCATCCTCTGCGCGGATGTAGGTCGCCGCAGCGATGGCACGGTCAGACGCATCCGTGAACGTGTGGACGGAGAGGATGGACTCTGTAGCCGCCTTGAAACTGCGTGGCGCGTTGATGGCGGCCAGGTCGGGCAGCTCGTCAAACCACTCCCTCCACTTTCTGGCGTGTGTGGGAGGAAGCTCATCGTCCCACGCCTGGTCCAGCAACCAAGTGTCCTGCAGCAGCACGCGGGCACGGATTGTGAACGGCGCAATTTGCCCACGAGGATCGAACGCCGACGCCAGGCCGCTGAGGACGGAGCGCCGTGTCAGCTTGGTGAACTCTGGTCGCTTGAAATGGAAGCTGAAGACGTCTTTATCCGCTGACCAGGTGACTCCCAGCGTCTTCGTAGTAGGCAGAGTGCAGTGGAAATGCTCACCGACATTGAGTGTAGCGGATGCGGCTCGATCAGCAGCTGGTATGCTCTGCAGGACTTCCGCGCTGGTGGACAGCCACTTGCGCAGGTGAAACCCGCCGCGCGACAGGATGTCCTGGAACTGGACGCGGCTCTCCACTGCGTCGGCCACCGATGGGCGCGATGTCAGCAGGTCGTCGACATAGCGGCTCCGCTCCAGAGCGTCGGTAATTGCGGCTGAGTATTGCGGGCCGAATCTGCGCAGTACCTCCTGGACTGCCTTGCCCGCCAGGTAAGGCGAGGCCTTGATGCCGAACACCACACGCTGAAACTCATACACCCGCGGCTGGTTGTCGTCGAAGCGCCAGAGAAACCGGTGGTATTTGCGGTCCTCTTCCCTGAGAGCCACTTCGAGAAACATCTCCGAGATGTCAGCTACAAGTGCTACAGGCTCGGCACAGAACCGGATCAGGACCTTGACAATGTCGGTCTGAAGTGCCGGGCCGCTGAACATTTCATCATTAATCGATCGCCCGTCCCACTTGGCCGCGGCGTCGAACACGATCCGCACCTTGGTCGTCTCCTTGTCGTTGCGGACGACCGGAAAGTGCGGCAGGAACCATTGCTGAGCACCATCGGCGTCCACCTCCCTGCTGGGCACTTCACGGATGTACCCCTTGTCGAGATGGCTCTGCATGACGTCGTGGTACTGCTGTTGGACTCTCGGGCGGCTGTTCAGTGAGCGTTCCAGGCTGCGCAGTCGTTGCGCGGCTTGCGGCCGGTTGGAGGAGATGTGGGGCTCGGGATCAACCCACGGAATGCCCAACTCCACCCTTCCATCGACGAACCGGGCCGTTGCGTTGGTGCGCTCCTCCACCTGGCTGTCCTCAGCAGATGGCATAGCGTCGTAGCAAGGCGGCCGTGCGCCGGCTGACTCCATGCCGAGATGGTTTCGGACGAGCGTCTCGAGGCTCAGATCCTCTGATGTAGGCGTGACGACTGCTGAGAAGCTGGCAGGGGCCAAATCTGCTCTTCCTGGGCTCAAACACACCCAGCCCAGTGGGGTGAGTCGGGCAATCGGGTGGTTAGGCTGCGCTGTAGTGGCTTCCTGCCGTACGGTGTGCAGCTCGATGGCGTTGAGACCGATCAGCACGTCGATCCGCCCCTCCACTGAGGGGAACGGGATGTCGCGGAGATGCTCCCAGCTCTGCTTGCTCTGGCTCCAGTCCACCGGCTGCACGCTCGGGCACACTGTTGGCAGCGCCCAGGCGCGGAACTCCGATATCGAGCCGTCAGCTTTGTCGACCGCGACGGTGACGTGCTCGTACGTACCGGTCACTTGCCCGCCGCCCAGGACGGACGCCGTCAGCTGCTTTCGTGGGCCACACACGCCAATGGCAGAAGCGGTCTGCTGCCTGATGTAGCTGGTGGACGACGCAGGGTCCAGCAGCGCAGTGCCTTGCACCCTCCTGCCGTTGTGGCTGAGGACAACAGGTACCGTCATGAACGACAGCGGCAATGCTTCGGGCGGTTTGTCCTCCTCACGCCGCTCAGCTGTTGCCATGGCGGTGTCGAGAGCAGACGTCACGTGTGTGGTGTGTGCCTCCGTACACGACTCGGTTGAAGCGTCAACTGTGACGTGAGCCGTGTGACGACCGTGTCTCTCCGCTGGTGCTGGCTTGGTCGGCTTGGTGCCACCGGGCGCATCTCGCTTTGGCCTGTTGGAGTGCAGCAGTGCGTGGTGTCGTCGTTGACAGGCGCCACAGCTCATCTTGCATGCCGTGGACCAATGGCCAGGCGACAGGCAGCAGCTGCAGATGTCCTTGCAGGCGCGCACAAATTCCCATCGCTGCTGAACCGTCAGAGATTTGAACCTCGGGCACGCGCTCAGGTGATGCGTGCCCTTGCAGCTTGCGCACTGGTCTGGACCGACCGCGAAGGTGAAGTCTCCTGACCGTGGCGGACGCTTGGGCGCGACGCTGGGTGGGCATGGCTTCTGGGACTGCACGACTCGCCGTGCACTGGCTGGCTCCGAAGCCGCGATCCGTTCGTTCACCCTTGTGAGCTTGTGAACGCGCTTGAGCAGGAACGCGGCAAATGCGTCAATGTCACACTGGGTGTCGTCCTGCTTCTCAAAGTAAGCTGAAAGGACCGAACGCGGCACCTTCTGCGTCACTGAGAGATACAGCTCTCGCCCGGGCGCTATCCTGGCCACCCGCAGGTTCAACAGCGTGTTCCTCAGCTTGACGGCCAGCGTCTTCAGCTCATCCAGCTCGCGCTCCGTGTTGATTCGCGGCCAACTCATGAGCTCGCGTTCCTGCTGTTCGAGGCTACGGTCAGTGCCCCCGTACCACCGATCCAGCTCCTCCATGATGGCGGAGTAGGCGCCCGGGCCGTCTAGCACGTCCGCGATCAAGTCCTCGGCCGCTCTATCCGCCAGTGCCTCCCGCAAGTGCGCGAGCTTATAGTCCTCTGACAAGAGCGGGTTCTCGTGTACTAGACGGAGAAACCGCTGACGCCACTTCACATATGACAGCATCTTGCCATCGAACTTTGGCAGGTCCAGTGGCTTCAGGGACCTGCAGACTCCCATCTGGAACATAGCCGCTCCGTCTGCCCAATCGACTTCTGGGTCGGTCGCCCTGGTGGGCGGGAAGTAGGGTTCCGCTGCAGGGTTGAGTCCCGTTTCCTTGGGCTTGAAGGCCTGCTGGACTGGACGGAGTCGCAAAGGCACTGGCGGGACTGGCTTAGGTGGTGGGCTGGGTCCCGCTCCCTTGGGCTTGAAGGCCTGCTGGACTGGACCAAGTCGCAAAGGCACTGACGGGACTGGCTTAGCTGGTAGACGTCTGGGCTTCGCACGTGGGGCTGGGGTTGGAGCAGGTCGATACTTGAGCAGGCTTGCTCTCGGCACTGGAGCTGAGGTGTTGGGTTGTACTGCAGGCTGCACTGGCTGTTGCATGTTCGGCTGCATGGGCTGCTGTGCAGGCTGTGACCCAGACCCCTGTTCTGACCCGGGCCTGCGATGAGCCACTGCGCCAGCACCTGCGTCGCTGAAGGCACTTCGACTGAAGTGGTTGGCCAGCCTGCGCTTGGCCTCCGCGTCCGATCGCGCACGACGACTTCCCACGCCGCGTGGCCAGCTCCCACCATCGACATCCTCGCTCTCTAGCTCTGAGCTCTCTGGCTCTGAACTCGAGGTATCCACAGCAGAACTTCGCGCTGCCCTGGCACTGCTCGCGCTGGCCAACTCCTCCGCCGCCCTCGCCTGCTCGACTTCGAGCTCCTTTTCCGCCAGGTCGATTTGGAGGTCGATCTCCCGCTGCTTCAGAGCGGTGATCCGCCGTGCAGTCTCCAGTTCTGCCTCCTTGTTCCTACGCAATATCGCAGCTTCAAGTTCAACGCCCCCGACTTCAAGGCTCTCGCTCGCGGACGTCCTGCCGCCGCTCCTGCGTCCCGACCGCCTCGGCTCTTGGGCCTGCTCCCCATCGGAGAGGAACCGCTTGGGCATCTTACCTAGGGTTCTCCTGCTACTCCTTCGTGGGAACTCCATGACAGGCAACGGAAACCGAGACTTTCTGCTGGTCGTGATCCGGCTCGAAGGACCAGTTTATGGCCAGCTCTCTGTCTGGCTCGCTTTACTGGATTCTACTATTTCTAGACTGTATTCTTCAGGCTCACTTCAGGCTCGACTCGCATTGCAAACTTCTGTTGTTATTGTGTTTCCAACTAACCAACTACTAAAGAAGAACACTACTGAAGACTAGCCGAAAGGGAAAGGCACCTGCGTCTTATAACAGCAGGGCAACATAAAGCACAGCAGGCCGAGCAGGGCGGCATAAAAGGCACATGTGAAACCAGAGACCCGGACCCGTCAAAGCATGCAAATGAGGGCCGCTCTATCGCCTGACATGAATGCATACAAACCAGTATACATGACCATGCGTGCACAAAGAGTACAATGGATCTTGAACTTAGCACGAGAGGCGTGCACTTCGTTGATAACAGCAGAACCTTTGCATGACTATCATAACACTCTCCTTATTGCAATATTTAGCCAATGCTCCATCTGTTGTAGCAGCTACCACACAACTACAAGTATGCATTCATTACCTGGCTGTCTTGTATAAACTTGTGAATGCAATCACGTGATGCTTTGTGCACATATGCTCCCATACTTTAGCGGATGTGCGCGTGTGTGTGTGTGTGTGTGTGCATGTTAATGGGTGTGTATGTTCTTGCACGTACGTACGTGTACATGTCTGTGCGTTTACATGTACATGTACATGCAGACGTGTGTGGGTCTGTTGAAAAAAGCGCATGAACACGTGTCAATTCACGTGTGCATGTATGTACGGGTGTATGGTAAACGTATTCTTTGCTCCATGCGTCCGCCGTGAATGAAGGTACGAGACTTTATGTGTCATAGCTTGTGGCGGTTGTTCTGTAAATAGTAGCACCGTATCCTGGCCATCCGCAGATGCAATTTTTTCACTTCAATTCTGCATTGGCTCAGGTGCTGTGTTTGTAAGTGTCATCCTCTCTGCATGAATTATTTATATTTCTTTCCCACCTCAGTACTGTATTTGGCTTGATATTGTTGCTGTTGTACATACAAGTATAGGCACATGCATTGATGTGCGAGGGTTTGTGTTTGGAGCTCCAGCAACCTGTTGGGGTTCGTGTTGTCTGTAAATTCGTGGTCTACGGATACAATGGTCTGGCTGGTACATCGCAGAATACTAGGACCCCTTGAACGATTCTGTCGGTCGTTCATAAGTCCACCAATTGAAGAAATGTGTGTGTCAAAATGTGTCAAAAATACAGTGTTGACGAAACGGTTGGTATCACCGCTGTCGGATTTTTTGCACAAGCCAAAATTGGAGGATACACTGTTGGCTAATATCTCTTTCTAATTAAATAAGCAGGAAATAGCGAAACCCTTGTACAAACCAACGGCACGAAATTATAGCATGTTCAACCAAAATATCAGCGACATAACGAAAACGCAAGCGACGAGCGAGAACTCAACTTCTCGTTATTTGTTGTCGCCACGGACAACACTTAGGGCAGAGAACAACTATTAGGTTGGATTTCGACAACGATCTGAGACGAAGAACTCACGGGAGACGTAAACCAAAGGACGACGAAGGTGACGCCATTGAGTATTCGTCTCGCGATATCTTGAGAAAACTGCGAAATCTGGCAAATCTGAAAAAGTGCAACTTTTAGATGACTTTTTCTGAACTGGCGCCCCATGCATGGCGCACGGACTGATAGAGTCCATAATATTATGCACTCTTGTTATCAACCATGTGGATTTTCCAGTAAAATGGATCACGTGATACTAATACATGCACTTGTAAGTTGTAAGTGCACGTGCACGCGTGGATAGTATTCAAAAAACGCATGGTGTTGTTTTTCATCAGATATCGCGATGTCGGCATGATCGTCAACATCCATGGTCGATAATGTCTTTACTTCGAAAGTAAGTAGAATTATTTTGTGCACCTAGAAACAGCAAATACTGTAGTATCGTGTACGTAGATTGTTGCTTGCTTGATACTGTTTCAAGGCGTATCTGCTGCAGCGTTATCACTCACCAACAGACAGTCCTGGTTCAACATTGTAGACTCGGAACATGAGCGGCAGTCAGCGATTTCTCAGTGGCTTGGCTATTGGCAGCATCAGCGCAGTGGCGCTGTCCATTGCTATCGTGAAGGTCAATCAAACGCAGAACACATCTCCAGTGGTCGTGACTGTGGGAAATCAGCCGTCACCGTATCAATCTAGATTCCAGGAAATTATGGGGTACGTACACGCTCAGTACTAAAATACAGTCTGTATCGGCTATAGAGTGACCGGATATAAGAATATATCGGCTACAGTGATATTGGTACGAAATATCAAAAGCAAAACGTATTTTATCCAGTAAAAATATCACTATAACCAATATTATCGGATGTAATGATATATCGGATTTTATGATGGCAACAAAGAATCAAAACATGCATAACACACTATATTATTATCGGCTATAGTGATAACTTTAAAATACATGTAGCAACAATATCAAAGGCCCTATGTTTTCACTTTCTTCACGTTGCTTATTTTTATAGTGATACATGTACAATGTACATAACAGATTTTTTATGGAAATGCGGGCACTGTCAACTGTGCAGCATGCTCATTTGTCAAAACGCCATGCTGGAAGTATTTCCTTGCCTTTCATGTGTCGATCGAAAAAAGAAAAAAAATTGATCGTATCGCATATAGTGATGCATCGGTTATTGTGATAAAATCACGGAAATCAAAAGGGTACGCTATAGCCGATACAGACTGTACACACAAACAGTACTGTAGACAATACAGTGAAACCTGTCTAAGGCGACCACTCGAGGGACAAGAAAAAATTTAATGGTCACCTTGGCCAGGTGGTCTTCTTATCCAGCGGCCAGGTTCAGTGGGTCACGTGAACATATTGGCTACAGTGTACACGTACATGCGATGTATTATTTTGATCAGTGCATCACACTGCACACACCTATGCTAATAGGGAGGTTTCGCTCTACGGAATTACGTAGGAAAATAACGTAGGAACTGCACGGAATTTTCATACGTAAAAATCAGAGCTGTTGCCGTGTTGGGTTTCACTCTACGTGATTTCTCCGCGACTGTTAAACATCGTTGTTGCTTTGGAGACGCGTTGGCTGCATGCGCCCACCGCACGCACCATGAACCGAAACCGCGTTTTCCATTTTATTTTGCACGTGGTGTACGGTACGCGCGCAGTGTGTGTACCTTGTGTTTCGCGCGGCTTGAACGTTGCCATGGACAAATGCGGAAAATGGGAAAACATATTTCAAAAAGTCCTACGGAGGACCCAACGTAGGAAAGAGCTTTCCTACGGAATCCGTAGAAAGATTTATGTATGAAAGTTGCCCTTGCTCCCTGGCGCGTACGACATACGGATTTTCATACGTAATTACGTAGAGCGAAACCTCCCTACTATCACGACTCGTGTGCCTGGGGGCATCAGACCTGTCAAGTGTCGTGCATGCACCATGTACTGCAAGTCGACTAATATTCGCGCATATTTATTTTCGGCTATTTTTGGCTTGAATCCATACATCCTGTACACACACCTTGTACACACTCTCTCTAACAGTCTCTAGGCTACACTGCAATTGATATACATTAGTTCAAATTTTCGGGCAACACCCATCATCAGAATACATTAGTTCAAATTTTCAGGCAAGGCCCATCATCAGAATTCCTGATGATGGGCCTTGCCCGAAAATTTGAACTACAGTCCATTTCAAAACTATAGACGCGTAGGGTTTTTGAAATATTTCAAATTTGGCTGGAACTTTTTGAGAATAGTTTTCGGAATATTGCTCAGGACCGCTCCACAATTATTCTCATATAGTTTCCAAACGATTGGATAACAGGCGCCCAATTTGGAAAAAGTTATGCACAAAGTGATCACAGATTTTATGTGGTATAGATGCTGGCATAACGGCTTTTGCCTAGGTACGCGTCTATAGTTTTGAAATGGACTGTAATGTATATCAATTGCAGTGTAGCCTAGAGACCGTTAGAGAGAGTGTGTACAAGGTGTGTGTACAGGATGTATGGATTCAAGTATTGGCTACAGTGGAGTCTCCAAACCTTGAGAAAACTATTTTTGGCCTGGACATATTTGGCCGAAAAATTGTCGCAGCCGAAATTTTGTTATGCAAGGTTCAGTGTGACAGTGTATACAGGCGGCAGCAGTACTGTTTTTGATCTGATAAGTACAGTTGCACACTCTGGTTTATGTACTCTTGATGTTATCCATACCGGAATGAATATTTGATCTTAATTTATAGAAAAGAAAAAGGACCAAGAAACTACGCAAGAAAAGGGTTTGCTCCCCACACCGGAGCTCGCGCTATTCCGCCGACTTTACTTGACACTTGAAGAAACTACGCGTTACGCTATAATGTCCACCAACATTTAACACCACCAGTTACTAAACAATCAGCTTATGCGAGAACATTGCACGACACCGACTGACGGTACTGACGTTCTACAACTAACTGGCTATCAGCTCTAGCACATCTTGGATGTGCACTCCAACAGCCTTCCAACTTGGAAGGTTCTCAAAAATGTATCCTTGGCTCGCCATCTGAGTCCATTCTGGCACACCTGATTTTTAAAATTGATTGACAATACACTCACTCATTTCTCAATATGCGAAGACTACACTATAGTCAGCCATTACTGTAAGACATGTATATATAACGAGGAAGCAAATCTAACGTTTTAACGGATGACATTTCTTCGTTATAATAAGATCCATTGAGACCGTGCTGCTTCATATATGCTGTGTGTGGATATGGCAGAATACTGCAAGATCGTTAACATATCTTCTCGTTAACCTATGAATTTTGGACAATCGTTAAATTTGCGACTCGTTATAATATTATGTCTTATCACTCTCTTATTATTGACCCCCACAGAAACTTGTGATCTCTAAGCGGTCAAATATGTATAGATTATAGACCGGTTAGGAGGTCTATACAGGATATATAGACCGAGTAAAAGACCGAGGTCTTTTACGAGGTCTATATATCCTGTATAGACCAACTATGAGGTCTATAATCTATTTATCGTGTTCTCCACACAATAGTTTCTCTTCATTTACGACATATCATTGTAATTCTAGTATTCTACTATAGCCTATATACCGCATTGTACTGCATTGAAAGTCAAGATCATTGTTTAAACTAGGTTCAGCATCGGTAGCACAGTGGCTGGGTGGTAAGGAAGAGTGACTGAGATTCACAAGGTTGTGGGTTCAAATCCCATCTTGTGTGTTTCTGCTTTCTTCAAAAATTTCTTTTTCTAAGTTATCAGGGAAATTAGTGAGGTCAAATACTAAGAAGGCGATAACAGCATATATTAGGGACCTTTCGCATTTGCTACGAAACGAATGCGAAACGAAAGTTTGATTCGGCTCGTAATCGTTTCGTTGAAAACAGATTTCAGGATTCGCAAGTCGTCATGCAAATGTGCATGGCAACTACGAATACGGCCGCGGGCGCCGGTAGTTTCGCGTACGGGTTTTTACACGCACACGTGCATGGATCATGGAATCAAGGGAAAAATGTGTACCTTGCAAAACATGTGTACCTTGCAAAACATGTGTACCTATCCAAATAAATGTGTACCTATCCAAATAAATGTGTACCTGACGGATTCGGAGCGTGCCACGAATGAAGAGGCCTCCATTCGTGAAAACGAGTTCTCCGCAGGGACTCTGACGAATCCTCGAACCCAGGTGACGAATCAGCATTCGTTTCGTATCCGTCCGCGGGGTGCGAAAGGTCCCTATTGACCGCTTATATTGACCACTTATTATTGACCACTTAGCCCGAGGACTTAGAACTTTTTCCTCAACTTAGAAAAAAATCAGAACTGAAAGAAGAAAATCTGAAGCCAAATGCTGGGATTTGAACCCAAACTGTCAGATTCTCAGTCAAAGCACTTGGGGAACATACTACAGGAGACAACTGAAAACTTTGGTTTACACAGAAGTAATGTCCAATGTAAACGGCATATGTACATACTATTATACTATTACAATAGTATTCCTTTCTTCCTATAGCAAAGCAAAAACAGTTTTAGATATGCTATGTCGTGATAAATCTATTATTGCCCTCATATTCGGTCAATATATGAAATATAGACCTCGTAAAAGACCTCGGGGGACCTCGGTCTTTTACTCGTTCTATATTTCATATATTGACCTCTTTAATCGTGCAATAATAGATACTTCCAGTATATTCACACATCCTCACAACACTCTACAAGAGGTCTCTGGCCTACACCAATCACTGAAAAAAAGAATGAAGTCATCCGAATTTTCGGCCAAGGCCCATCTTCGGTGCACTACCGTCCGTGTTGTCATACAGTAGTCATTTAAAACTGTTTGTGACATGCTCCTTGCAAAGGTTTGGCCTACCGCCGGAAAATCGTGTCAGCATCTTTGAGAACCATGCCTTACACTACTCGAATGAGAAGCGCACACCTCGCTGGGTGGCGGAGCATCTCACTAAGACCAATTTGCTAAAGGTGGAAGGTGTAAATCGCAAGCATTCATCTTTTGCTGTAAGTAGTAGAACATAGTCTGATATAAGAACTGCCATGCGTCTGATTGTTCAGCTGCAATGCTTCACAAATACTCTTGTAGTTCCGATGTTAAACCTCTAGCCAGACTTCAATAATAAGAACATTTAGTAATAATGACAGATCATCCATCCATGACAGCTGAAAACAAAATGCTTGCAGCTTGTTGTGACCAGTACTTTGAGCCTCTGTATTCCCGCACTTGGCATTCTGCATGTGTATCAGAGAGGAAGTCAGCTCACAACCAATGAAGTAGAGACACAAGGCGAATGTGACACGACAAAAAGAAAGTGAACACTAAAATACTATGACATTCGAATGGCGTTGTGGACCAGTGCCACGAACATTGCCACACTAGTGCCATTCTGTGTTTACCCGAAATTTGGTATCAGTTCTGCTGCTGCCCCCCCACCTAATTGTACATACATGTATGAGCAGCTCTTCATCTTTTTTTGCCTTTCCATCTGCTTCCAGGCAGACAGAGACATATTGGAGCAATTTCGGCCTGCACCCGACGAGTACTACAAGACTGGTTGGTCACGTGGCCATATGGCTCCAGCTGCTGATTGCAGAAGCTCCCAATCAGCCATGAATCAGACATTTCTCCTCTCGAACATTGTACCGCAAGACAGAGACAACAATGAGAAGTATGGTCTTAGTTTTCATCCAGTTACACGTCTATAGGCGATTCACATGACGCGCAAACTCATTTGTATGGCCCTCTTTTTACTCCTGTGCCCAAAACACGTGCAAAATCTTGATGAACTTGCTCGGGTGCCATAGGCCCACGTTTGTGTTTTTGCGCGAGTGTAAACCAGCGAAAGTATTCGAGTATGGTACTCGAGTTCCATGAGTATGCTCGAGCACGCAGACGTATGCGAGATTTGCACGGGTCTGTTGCCGTGTGAATCTGATGGCCGGCTTGTCCACTTTTACATAAACGTGTTTTCGTTCATTCAACTTCTTCACTTACACGTCGTGCGAATCGCTTATAAGGTCGTGGTGCATACGTGTTCAAACAATCAATGAGTGATGAGATAGCGAATGATGTGTACTTAGCTGAGCAGAGCCAATGCATTCCTGTTCAGACAATTTCATGTTCTTTGTTGCTTTGCTGTGATACTCAATGCCGTTTTTCACTAGGTACTGGGCAAATCTGGAGTCATTCTGCCGTGGCTTGACTGATTTCTTCGACGATGTGTACGTTTTGTCTGGTCCACTATACCTGCCACAGCGTCGGCCTGATGGGAGTCGATATGTTCAGTATGAGGTATGTGGGATGAGTTTTTTTGCTTGTCAACAATGTCAAGTGATATTGCAATATCCATGTGAAACTCTAAAACAGAAGGGTTCCAGGCTGTCCAATAGAGTGCTCATTGTTGTTTGGTGCTCGCTTACTTGTGCATGAAACTCAGAGTATTACTCACTTTGGGCTCTGTGCTCAGTCTCACATGACTTGCAAACGCAACGATTGTAACTGCCGTATCCGAACGCAGTTTTGTTGAAAACTACTGTTTATTGGAAGCCTCTGGACAGCTGTTGATTTCTTTGAGACCTCATTGCAGTACAGGTGTGCATAGTGTTGATGTGTTGTGTTGATTGTGCAGATATGGCATGTTGTGAGTTGATCTTTCATGCGCTGCAATGTTATTACACTGCGCAGATCATTGGCAAGAGTGACATTGCTGTCCCAACACATCTATTCAAGGTACGTTACTCGTGGTCATCACAGTGCTCTGTCCACTTGCACACTCTAAGGTACGTTACTCGTGGTCATCACAGTGCTCTGTCCACTTGCACACTCTAAGACTATGCTTGCTTTCTGTTCTTTCGTCTTTCTCCAAGTTCATGCCAGTGAGGAAAATACCGTGTGTCGGTTGTGAATCGCATTCCCAACAAGAGACGGTTTCTCATGAGTCAAGACGCTCATTTCCCTTGTTTTATCTAGGTGTACTGTACAGCGGGACATGTTCATACGGCACTGATTGTACGGCTTCGAATACATGGCCAGTGTACGAATACGTGACTGTGTTTCCAATTTTCATTTAAGTTTCCCGACTGCGTTATGCACACCTTCACGCTACATGAACTTATTTTCCCGATGCAAGTCCATGTTTGCCCATAGTACGAAGTGTTTCATGTATGGAGATCCTATGCCTGTGCAGTAGGTGAATTCAATATCTGTTTCCCGGCGTGCATCACTGCAGGTTATCTTGGCTGTACGCTCTGGCCAGCAGCCCGTTCTAGGTGAGTGCAATGCATAGGTAGCAGCTGCCTTGTATAGCTAACCTTGGCTTTACCCAGTCTGGTGCTCTTTGTCTTCACAACTTGAAACGTCTCAAAGTGAGCTGGTCAAGGACTGGCTTCAGCAGGTATAGGGATTCACTGGCCAGAAAAAGTCACTTCAAACAGCTGTGTGGTGGATACCAGGCTAAAAATAGTGGCGGTCAATTCATCAGCCTTGCAAGCTGTTGAATGGTGTAATCCCAGCACAAGTTGCTATGTCTAACATAGCTGTTCGCTATCATCGCTTCCGTGATGGGCATGTCTGAGGTGTGTGTGGGGGGGGGGGGGGGGGGGTGCGTGTGTGTGTGTGTGTGTGTGTCCCATATGGTGCAGTGGTAAGTGCAGTCGATTTCCAATCGAGAGGTTGCGGGTTCAATTCCCGACGATTATGGTCACACACACTATGTGGTGTGGGGTGTATGTGGAAAAAATGGAAAAATGAAAAATAGGGATTCACTGGCCAGAAAAAGCCACTTCAATCAACTGTGTGGTGTAGACCGGGCTAAAATTTGTGGCAGTCAATTCATCAGCCTTGCAAGCCGTTGAATGGTGTAATCCCAGCACAAGTTGCTAGCTATCATCGCTTCCGCGATGGGCAGGTCTGAGGTCTGAGGTGTGTGTGTGTGTGTGTGTGTGTGTGTGTGTGTGTGTGTGTGTGTGTGTGTGTGTGTGTGTGTGTGTACTGTTAGTCAATGCTACATTTTGCAATTCACATTCTCATGCAATCACACTGCACTGCAGATTTCCTTGTACAATCTTCAATTATCTTTATTTTTATTTTTTGGCTATATTAAAATGTTCGAAACCCTTTGGCAAATGTACTCCATGTGGGTGTACTTGAATGAACGTTAGTGTTTTGTTCTAATTCCGTTGTGGAATGCTTGAATTAATAGTTGAACTACCCTGTTATTGAGAGACATGGAAACTCATGTACTTCTTTTAAGTACATGTACTTCGAAGTACCATGGACCTATTGTTTTCATTGTGTTTTTCTTTCTTCTTTTCTTCCAGGCGCATTCATCGTACCGAACAGCCCGATCCCGGCAACTACACCCCTTCCTAAGTTCCAGGTACCACTGCAAGAGGTTGAGAGAGTAGCGGGACAAGTCTTTCTGCCAGAGCTTGACCGTAGCAAGGTACGCACCATGCATTAGGGAGGTTTCGCTCTACGTAATAACGTATGAAAATCCGTATGTCGTACACACCGGGGAGCGAGGGCAACTTTCATACGTAAATCTCTCTACGGATTTCCGTAGGAAAGCTCTTTCCTACGTTAGGTCCTCCGTAGGACGTTTTGCGAAAATTTTCGCATTTTCCGGATTTATACATGGCAGCGTTCAAGCCTCGCGAAACCCGAGGTACACACACCGTACACCATGTACCCCGTGAAAAATAAAATGAGAAACGCGGTTTCGGTTCGTGGTGCATGCGGTGGGCGCATGCAGCCAACCCGTCTCCAAAGCAACAGTGCATGTTAAGCAGTTGTGGAGAAATCACGTAGAGCAAAACCCAACAGCGCTGATTTTTACGTATGAAAATTACGTGCAGTTCCTACGTTATTTTCATACGTAATTCCTTAGTGCGAAACCTCCCTATTGGGAGGTGTGTGTGTGTGTGTTTGTTGTGGTGGGGGTACAAATAGTCTTCATGGGACTATTTGGTTTATATAGCTTCTTTTTGTGTTGTGCTTGGACAAACCTTACATGCATACCATAATCCCAGCATTCGGTCTTTTGGTATTACGATCATGTTCCCCAACTGAAGCATACATGATATGCTCTGGGGGGGGGGGGGGGAGTACCATTTGAATAGAAGTCCCAGTCGAAATAGCCTCTCAGCTCTTGTGCGTGTAAGGGTCATGTACATACCCATAGTTATTTCTTTCTTGTGATCTCTTTGCGTGCTATAATGTCAAGGTGAAAGACCTATGACTTGTCAGCTACGAAGTCAGGCAGCTGGAGTACCTTACAAAGAAGTGAGTCCAACCACACCCATCTTCTCTACTTTACCTGATTGCATTCTTATGGATAGTCCGGTATCCAATTTATTGCGTTTGTGTTCTGTCACGTGAACGCTTAGCAGTTGTATTGCTGCAAGTGACCAACAGTTACTCAGAGTTGCACCACAGTATGCATACACGCTGTTGAGTGTTGTGCTGCTGCATGTACATCGTGCAAGTCTTTCTCACACATGATCTCTTTGTATACCCTTGTTACCTTGTAGGTTATCCTCAGCAAAGACTGTACAAGAGGCAGATGAGCTCTGGAAGTCATTCGCAAAGCGCAACATCAAGGCAGATCCAGACACAATGGCCCACTACAATAGTGTCCGCAACTCACTCGCCTCCAGAGAGAAGAGCCTTCGATGATTGCGGTGCTGTCTGCGATTCTGGAATTTCTTTCTGTGATCGAAACTAGCTACGCTACCTTGATCATGTGCACACAGCGGTCATGGTAAGATTAGAATGGCAGTCTTCTTTTCTTCTTTTTTTCGATTCCACGTCATTCTTGGGTTGCTGCGGAGATGTTGACTTTGGACATCATGGAAAAAGTGGTATCTGCCTAGACATCCCGAGAAAACTATTCCAGTAAACTACATCAGGTAGTTCTTTACTCGCTTCTGCCACGGTGCACTCTGTGAGACAAGCAGCAAAACTGGTAGATTGGGTTTCTGGCTCTTAAACCGCAGGCTCTGATGTATTCACCCAGCAGATACCGTTTTCGTTTTCATGCTCGCTTTCAAGGGGCTTCAATCTCTCACGAAAGATGCATCTATGGCTGCTGTGATGACGAATTGCATCTGTTGTTGCAGTTTGTAAGTTATTACGCTGCACTGTTATCAGTTAGAGGATTACAAAAGAGTGGCACGTCACACCTTCATTGAAATCCTTTTAATGAATCTTGAGAAGAGTAGGGCTAATGACAACATATTTATAATCGCATTTCTTTCGCTAGAATAATGCAGCTGAAGCTACTTCATCAGTGTATGACTTGAAGCTCACCAATCCCTTGGTCTCATTGTTACGTTCAGAAAATGACGTTATCAATAAAAGAATTTTGCCTGTTCATCACGCTTTTCTGCCAACTGAGCAATGATGTGACTGTGTGGGGCTGTCATGTACAGAAACACTAATGTGCACCTGATTCCATGCACCTTTGCCGGAGCCCACAAAGCAGTGCCCCGTGCATGTAACATGGTACGTGCAGGGCCTTGAAAGCCTTGAAGGCCTTAAAAAGCCTTGAAAGTGTTGTTTGTTCAAAAATGACATCTCAGACCGCGGTCACGCATGTACTTGGCGGGGCTGCCAGAGCGGGACTTCCACATCCGCGGTCATTGTGTGTGACCGCGGCCTTAGCTGCCCAAAACCGCCTAAAACTTGTACTTTCCTTCGCGCCTGACAGACATTGAAAACGGCTTCTGAATAGCTCTGTGGGCATGGGGTACGGGTGAACAGTCCGTACCTTACCCGACTGCGCTAATCGCACAAGTTGGTTAGTATCGCCAATGGCATCCAGCACCGGGTCTCTGCCAGTCAGCTGCAAACTGCCAGCCACATGTGCAATTGGCAATGTGGATACGCCATCATGAAGAACGGACGACACTGGACCAGGAGACAACGCTGCACAAGTGCCATCTGTCAGGTCCCCCGCCAGGTCCACCGCAGCATGCACACCATCCACCAGCCCTCGATGCAGATCCGGAGGGCTCTCATAGGTTCCGGTAAGTAGAAGCTGCACAAGTGGCTTGGTCGCTCGGATGGATGCAGCCAGTTCTACCGGCGCGGTGTTCTCGAGAACGGGGATAGCCAGACCACCAAATCGCACCGGAAAGGACATAAGCTCCCTCTCCGGGCTATCAGGTCGAACACCATCCCCCAGCAGGGCCGGCAATAGGCACTCGTTCAGCTTCCTATCGCGCTCAGTCAACAGCTCAGGTGCGCACGGTGAGCAGCGCAGGTGATAAGCCCAGATGCCAGCCAAGCCTTTGGTGATTACAGCAAAGGCAGCCTGCAGTTGGGTCAGTGCCATGCTAGAGAGGTCATCTAGGGCCTTCTTCCACTTTTCCACTCGGTGTGTCATGAAGCCAGAGCAGAAAGCATCGCTTCCGATTGCACCACCAAGATGGCGATTCCCACTCGTCTTCATACCAGACGCCGCGAAGATACGTCTTGCTTCTTCCTCGTATTCCGGTCTAGCAAGAAGCACAGACGTCTTTGGATTTGGATGATAGCCATATCCTGGACCAATTTGGTTGACTTCGTTCCAGTAAGAGGACAAAGATGTTAGGCGGCCATCTGCCGAGTCGTCGTCCACGTACCAGCTCTGACTCACAGATGGATTGGACTCTCCAAGCTGACGGATCAAAGGAACAATGGCGACGGCATAGAGAGCCATCGCGAGGGGATCCCCCTAGCAGGTCCCCTCACCTCCTGAAACAAACAGGGCAGCTGTATGTGTTGCTAAAGACTCTCGCCATAGCTGGGCAGACGCGTGCAACGTTGTGGAGACGGTTTAGGGAGTTAAAAGCGTTTGACGCATCCACAAATAGTATGCCCTCTTCGTCCTCCCGCTGAAACAACTCCTAAGCAGCGTGCACGCCCGCTTCACACGTGAATGGCACGCCCACGCACAGTTGCCCTAAGCACGTCTGATTCAAGCACACGCATAACCGCACGGCAAACAATTCGGCGAAACAACTCCCCCCACAGCAATCAGACGGACCCTTGGACGTTTGTCAAGAGGAATCAATCTTGCGGCCGTGAACGCCGCGAGATGCTCAGGGTCAAGATCTTCCGAGTACAAACGGTGGGAAAAGTGCGCCAGGGCAGTGCACAGCTCGCCTGATGATTTTTTGTAACACGTCAGCATCCTGCACCACGCATCGGAGTCTAGACCTAACGGTCCAGATGCACCCCGCATCTGCCTCGCAATCCGCCGAACGAGCTCTGGGGTAATTCTCCGGAACGCGATATTATTGACTTGCCCGGGATCGCCGTCCAGGAGAGCAGAAGTGGGTGGCTCAGCAGCATGAGGATGTTTCGTCACCACAGCAGACATAGATGCATCTTTCAAGAGAGGTTCATCAAAGCCGTGAATGCAGTTCTACAGCTAAGCAAGAAACACGTTGAAGCCCCTAGCCCTTGGAACGGTGAGCATGAAAACGAAAAAGGTATGTGCTGGGTGAAATCATCAAAAGCCTGCGGTTTCAGGGCCAGAAACCCAATCTACTGCACTGTTATCAGTCAGAGGACTCAGTTACAAAAGAGTGGCACATCACGCCGCCTTCATTGAAATGTTTTTAAAATGAATCTTGAGAAGAGTAGGGCTGTTGACAACATGATTGTAGTCAAACTTATTCCCGTAGCAAGATGTGCAGCAGCTGCAGCTCAGTGACTTCAGCAGTGTGCAATGGTGTATGACCTTAAAGCTTATCAATGCCTTGGTCTTGTTGTTACATTCAGAAAATTACGTTATCAATAAAATAATTTTGCCTGTTGTTGTTGTTGTTGTTTCTTTATTTTACTTCACCATAAAAATTAAAAATTAAAGAAACAACAACCTGTTCAGCGGGCTTTTCTGCCAACTGAGCAATGATGTGACTGTGCGTGGCTGTCATCTACAGAAACACAAAATAAATGTGCACCTGATTCCACCTTTGCCCACATAGCAGTGCACTGTGATGATGCAAAAGATCCCTGGTTCGAATTCTCTTTCTCGTTGTGTGACTTACATCCTATCAATACTGCTTCCGGCTAAGTGCAATTTAGAGAGGTGAGAAGAGCGGAGATCACATGCCTGAAACGTTGTGGGACTGTTGTCCCTCATGCGGGCATGCGATTATATCGGAGGTGGCTTAAATTATTTGCTAGTGGCTCTCAGCGTCTGTTTCCCACCGCTCCATGGGTTGCACTGACTGACACTGGTGCCGGGAGCCATGCAAGGATTAGGTGTTCCTTGCACTGGGAACGGATCTGTATTGAAAGTTTGTATCCCAAACATCGTTGCAATTGTACAAAGCAATGTGCGCAGGGAGTGGTGCATCGCTGCAGAAAAAAGAAGTGTTAGCTTCAAGCCTTCATTCAAGCCTTCATTCAAGCCTTCATTCAAGGGGAGTTTAAAGAGGGTCAGAACCGGGTTTAAGACACAAACGGTTCAGATGGTCCCAACGGACCGGGGCTCTACCAACCGTGGATGGTTGTAGAAAGGTCACTGTTTCTGAACACGGTGTCCTCCACCTTGTTTCATGCTGTCAAACCAACAGCATGACATTGTGTGAGCTAAAAGAAGGTTTATCTAATATGTACAATATCCAACCCAGCTTTTGTGATTATTTTCGTTTAATTAATATCATTCATTTTTCAAATTTTTTAAAGATTTGCAAACTCCATTGCAGCTAGTTACACATTGGTTGTCAAGAAACTGTTGCCGCAGCTTGAATGCTCTTCAGATCTAAAAACTAGTTCAAACCGTTTAACCCACTTTTAGAGGTTTGTACCCGCTTAGTGGTTACTACACACTTCACCATTGTGTGTCTGGTCTATTAGAGAACAATGGTACCACAATGATAGCTGGGCCGTATAGTTTGTGCTTCAAAAGTATCAAACTATCCAACCGTAGCTGCAGGACGTGAAAGTCAAGATGTCACAAGCAGCTGTATTTGGAACAAAGTATAAAGCCAGTTGACACTTGTCCTTTTTCCTTGTAAGATTATAGTACAGCACATGAGCATAATCGAGACTGTGTGCTTTCTCCTCCGATAAAAGGCTACAACAACACATGCGAGGAAGTAACTCAGTTAGCTTTCCACTTGCAGCTGTACATGGTGGGATACAGTGAGAGAGAAAAACTAGTGGGAGAGAGAGAGAGAGAGAGAGAGAGAGAGAGAGAGAGAGAGAGAGAGAGAGAGAGAGAGAGAGAGAGAGAGAGAGAGAAATGGAGAGAGAGAGAGAGAGAGAGAGAGAGAAGAAAGTGAGAGACAGAGAGAGAAGAGAGAGTGTGAGTGAAAGGGAGAGAGAGAGAGAAAAGAGAGGGAACGAGAGAAGTGCATATAATAGTATTCCTGACATAATCTACAGGCTTCCATCACGCTTGTGTTTGTTCTTGTGTTGCCGCCGCCCCATCACTAGTGACACTGGTTGGGGACTGACACTCCGGGGCCGTAACTGGTCCAGTGGATGCCTATCATCAACAACGCCACTGCCACCACCGCGACCACTGGAAGGGACTACGAGAAGATTACTCGTCTTTTGATCTGTAGATGAAGTTGTTGCAACAGTGGCCACGCCACCAGCTGTGTCGGCACCGTCGCTGGTGCTTTTCGGCGATCGTGAACGTCCTGCACAGCACAAAGCACAGATCAATAAGGACTATGAAAGAGCATACTGTAAAAGCCATAATATGGCTTTATATATATATTATATATACACTCAGACACAAAGGATCTCCAAGTTTCTCACTGTTGCTACTCTGAGTTTCGTGCAAAAGCACTCTTCAGGCAACTTACTCTTCTCTCACATCAGTATCCCTTTACATACCAGAAAAGACGAAAAGAAGCACCCTAGGTGGGAATCACAGGTGGGGAAAAGAAGCACGCTAGCCAGTCTAGGTGAGAATCACAGGTGAAGATAAATGTGGCAAGTGTGGTAGTGTGAGCAATCGCGCAGGCCGGGTGGTGTGCATAAAGTGAAGTGTGGCAGTAGGATGCATGCACATTAGATAGCAGGAGTTCTGTATATGTGTAACAGATAGCAAGCACAGTCTACAGTTCAGGTCACCTCCGATAGGAGGTACTTGGTGCTGTGGCGACATTTTGTGACCAGGCTGCATCTGCATCTAAGAAAAATATTTAACAAAAACACGCTCAAAGTCAGCTACAGCTGTTCGCCTAACTTAGCCTCAATAATCAAGGGCCACAACGCGAAAGTCCTCAGACAGCCGGAAGAAAAGAGATGTAACTGCCGTGTCAAAGCAAACTGCCCACTCAACGGGGACTGCAACGCCAGCGAGATAGTATACGAAGCTACAGTGGACTCCAATCTCAGCCGGAAGAAGTATATCGGCATCTCCGAAACCCCGTTCAAACTCCGGTTCAACAACCACACGTCATCGTTCCGGAATGCCCCACACAGAAACAGCACAGAATTGTCGAAGCATGCATGGGCATTGAAAGAGGCAGGTGAAGGCGTCAACATCTCGTGGAGAATCAGGCAGAGATCCAGCGCCTACAAAAGAACCTCGAAGCGGTGCAACCTATGCCTATCGGAGAAGATCGCCATAATGAAGAGTGACAAGGCATCGCTCCTCAACACCAGATGCAGCCTGGTCACAAAATGTCGCCACAGCACCAAGTACCTCCTATCGGAGGTGACCTGAACTGTAGACTGTGCTTGCTATCTGTTACACATATACAGAACTCCTGCTATCTAATGTGCATGCATCCTACTGCCACACTTCACTTTATGCACACCACCCGGCCTGCGCGATTGCTCACACTACCACACTTGCCACATTTATCTTCACCTGTGATTCTCACCTAGACTGGCTAGCGTGCTTCTTTTCCCCACCTGTGATTCCCACCTAGGGTGCTTCTTTTCGTCTTTTCTGGTATGTAAAGGGATACTGATGTGAGAGAAGAGTAAGTTGCCTGAAGAGTGCTTTTGCACGAAACTCAGAGTAGCAACAGTGAGAAACTTGGAGATCCTTTGTGTCTGAGTGTATAACCCCGCTCTGTCTTAGGACATTGAGCACTTTTTGCCGACGCAAGAAATACTTCTATTGTTCTATATTATATATATATATAATAACGAAGTGCTAACTCTAACGAGTTAAAGGGGAAGTATACCCTAAAATCAAATTTTCACCAGTTGTAGTCTTCTGGGTGCTGAGTCGAATGGTCTTGGTCCGAGGAAGCTGCGACGCTCCCTTCCTACTTGAATCCCAATCGAACTCGCGCACTTCCACCGAAACTGGGTGACTGCGCCCTACTAGATGGGGATTTGTATGCAAAATGTCACTAAAAGCGCCATTTCGTTCTTATAAAAGCACGGATGACCGCGATTGGCCCATATGTTGTAGTCTTTTGGACGCTGAGTCGACTGGTTTTGGTCCGAAAAGGCTGCGATGCAGCGTTCCTCCTTTATTCCCAATCGAACATGGTTGAACAAGCGGTCACGTGCTCCTGGGTGCCCAAATCACCTGGTCACCGCGCCAGCAGGCGACAACTTTCACACCAAGGTTCAACTCGAGTGACAGGACTGCACCCAAAAAAGGTCAAACAGGCTAGTAAGTTGTACCCTGCAGGCACGGTGACCAGGTGACTGGTGTACGCAGGAGCACGTGACCGCTTGTTCAACCATGTTCGATTGGGAATAAAGGAGGAACGCTGCATCGCAGCCTTTTCGGACCAAAACCAGTCGACTCAGCGTCTAAAAGACTACAACATATGGGCCAATCGCGGTCATCCGTGCTTTTATAAGAACGAAATGGCGCTTTTAGTGACATTTTGCATACAAATCCCCATCTAGTAGGGCGCAGTCACCCAGTTTCGGTGGAAGTGCGCGAGTTCGATTGGGATTCAAGTAGGAAGGGAGCGTCGCAGCTTCCTCGGACCAAGACCATTCGACTCAGCACCCCGAAGACTACAACTGGTGAAAATTTGATTTTAGGGTATACTTCCCCTTTAACCAGGAGAAATCTGTCGTTAAAATAGAAATTGTTATACAGAAATCGACACATATACAGTCGTCCCTCTCTAATCCGGCACTTGTTTATCCGGAACCCTTGCCAACCGGCGCACTTTCTGACGAAACCGATTTTTTTCGTTCAATTCCTACATCTTAATCGGGCACTTGAATTCCGCCTCCGGCAGTGACTTTTTGAAACGAATCGCTCAAACTGCACGTAGTTTGATTTCATAATCCGGCAGTCGTAAATCCCGTACCGTACAGGTGCACTCCTTGCCAGGCCAGGCTAGGCCAGTCTGGTCAATGTTGTCCAGGAGACAACGGCAGTCAACCAACCATACTTTCTTATTTTAGCAAGGAGTAGTGTCCTGCCAATTTTCAGGTGAGTGTGTGTGTGCGTGTGTGTGCAAGAGTACATGTGAACATGTTCTCTGTTTCACTTTATCACTTTATCACTGTGTATATTCCCGGAGAACAATTGAGAATATAAAGCCGTGCACCAAATACTTGGGTCGACACGGAAAAAACCCTGCGTTTTGACGTACATATGATACATGCATGCAATTGGGTAGGGCCGTGTCAGAGGGCAGGATTTCTTAATCCAGCACCCTCGTTAATCCAGCAGAAAACACTGTAGCAAAAGGTGCCGGATTATAGAGGGACGACGGTACTGTCCTATTGAGCGTTGAGAATGAGTGAGAATCGTTACCTTTGGTACACGTAAACCAGTCAATTTTGGGAAATCGTTATATATGCACCTCGTTAGAATAATGGCTTTTACAGTACGAGCGTAGACGTTTTTAAAACAATCATGTACCCATCACATACAAGAATACTGAAATAGATCAATTTAATTACGCTCAGTCCGGTAGATGCTAGCTCAGAAACTGGTTGCATTTAAAAATAACACATTCGAGATAGTCTTCTTACCGAGACGTGCTGCGTGCAGACCACTGGCCGCTGCGCTGCACTTCTCAACGGAGTGTGTCAGCTTTTGTCCCAGCTTCTGCATGGTCTTGGACACCGGGTTCTTTGCCGTGATAGAGCTACTTGTACTTGAGGTACTGCCAGTAGCAACCAGTCTAGCTGATGACTTGGCTGCATCACCCTTCTCAACGATCGGACGCTGATCAGGGTCAGAGACAGAGTCACACTCTAGCCTGCTAGCAACACGCGGTGCGTGCTGCACTCGTGGTACTACTGACCGGCGTCTAAGCATTGCGATTGGCGGCATGTCGCCGGGCAACAGGTCTCCTTCTGATGCACTGTTCAGGCTGGATTGCCGAGCTGACAGTCGGCGGGTAGCAGCAGCAGCAGCAGCTCCTCCAGGACTCGCCGCCACAGAGCATACTGGTATCTTCATCACTGGTGACGGTGATTCCTGTCTCAAGGTCAGGGCTCCGAGTGACTGTGGCTGGCGCCTCATTCGCCGGTTTCTGATCCCATCAGGAATGGTATCCTCTGTGTCACTGTCACTAAGAACCAGGGACTGATCACAAGAGAAGATGCAAACGCACACACGACACACATGAACATAGATTGTACTAATTTTAAAAATGTAACACACAATAAGCTCTGCCTGTGACTGCATACAATGTACACCATCTAAGCACTCTTCGTGCATATGAATTTATTGATTGTACTACAGTGTCAGGGGCGTAGGAAGCAGATTTCCAATGGTCCGGCGGATTTTTAGCTCGTGCAGGTCGCAATTTTTTTAAATTTTTAACTCCGCCCGGTATGACTACTACAGTATTCAGTTCGTCTTGGGTTATGCATGGGGAAGTTGCCATGCAGGGGTGGTGAGCCCGCCTCTCGGCACCGGGAATACAGCTCGCTCGACTCTGTCTCTACTGAGTGAAGAGGGCAATTTTACTTGCAAAATGATTGTTTATGATGAACAAAATATTGTGGTATCATGGAAGACTTGAGGTTATGCTAGTAGAAGCATGCAGAAGCAAGTATTCAAATTGACAAAATTCTGCTTAAAACTGTCCGAATTGGGAGAGCTGATGCTCACTTCCACGTACAAATTCCCCTGTGGTCCTCTTCAGGCACTTGTCGTCCAGCAGTTTCTTGTGGACATTCAGGAACATCAGGTGATCGAGCCTTTCCTGGCGTAAGTAGGAATTGACCCTCCGCATGGTTGAAAACGAGCTTGCTGCCGTTTTTTTCTTTTCTTTTTGGCGAAACATTGGTCCGGCAGCTGCCGGACCTGCCGGACCTGCCGGACCGGTTCCTACGACCCTGAGTGTACTCTACCAATCTCCGTTTCCTTTGAATGGCTTTTCTCCGTATCACTCGTGTCCCCACTGTAGCCGAGCTTGCAGTTCCCATGATTGAATCTATTGGCATGGACCAGCTTGTTGAGAACGTTGTATCATTCAGTGCAGGAACCACTTACATATAGTTAAAATAAAGGTTTGAAGGCATCGGCGACAGTGCTGGTCTCAATAGACACACCAGCTGGCCCGGAACCTGCCAGAAATGGCTTGCTATGGCTTTTTCCAACGGGAGGAAGTCTGCTCTTGACAGCTAGTCTGTACTAGATTTCTACCAGAAATTGATTACGTGGGTCACCCCAGCAGAAGAGAGAGAGAGAGAGAGAGAGAGAGAGAGAGAGAGAGAGAGAGAGAGTGAGAGAGGGAGAGAGAGGGAGAGAGCCATGGAAAGATTATCCAACCGCCTACCCACCTACCCCACAAACATGCATGCGTGCACACACCATCACCAACACACACACACACACACACACACACACACACACACACACACACACACACACACACACACACACACACACACACACCTGAATCCTTGACTGTAGGTGGACTTCACAATTGATTCCACGTATGACCCCACCGCACCACAGAAAGCAGGTGAGGAAAAGGTGCTGAAAAAGGATTGTCGACATCAGGGTATCCGTCCCAGGATCCAATTGCCCTGTCCCATAGAAGGTAACGCTTGATAGTAATGCAGGTCACGGAAGCAGAGTGGATCTCATAAAGGCTCCGGCACTAGCACCACTGGTTACACAAAGACATGACTAAGTTTAACGTGTACCAACCTGCGATGAGGTGGCTTTCCTCTGATGCTGCAAATGGAACTGCTGTCTCTCCCAGTTCTTTGCCACATCAGTAGAGCAGCTCATGACCGCTGCTTGTAGATCGGGTGCTGACACAGCCATTCTAATCACATCAACCGCAAGAAACGATCACGAAAGATGAAATGTCACGGCTTGTGTTGCAGTCAGTGATTGAGACTGACTTTCCATATAAACACACCGCTATACTCGTATCAGTACTGTAGACATCATAATATTATACTGCTGCTAAAGCGAGAACGTCACATCCACCACAAATAGGATATGGACTGAATTCTCATTTTTCCTGCATCCACATTGCCTGTGTGCCAGGATATGTGCTCCAAATCTACTGTGGGCCACGGCATGGTTGGAAATATCCCTCGGTTTAATATTTTAATATAATCATGGCAAGGAAGCGAGCGCTTTCACCGATGTTCTGCTATTATTTTCTGACAGCGTTGGTCATGTTTAGCGTGACCTGGCAAGCGGCCAGGCTGTTCAAACTTGCTACGGTAGATTTTTTAAATCTTTCTCTGTGTTGATCCCAAGACACACCAGTGACATAGGCTACATGCTCACATGCCCTTGTGTACAGTATATGATCGGTGCTCGGCATACTCACATGCCCTTGTGTACAGTATATGATCGGTGCTCGGCATACTCACATGCCCTTGTGTACAGTATATGATCGGCGCTCGGCATACTCACATGCCCTTGTGTACAGTATATGATCGGTGCTCGGCATACTCACATGCCCTTGTGTACAGTATATGATCGGTGCTCGGCATACTCACATGCCCTTGTGTACAGTATATGATCGGTGCTCGGCATACTCACATGCCCTTGTGTACAGTATATGATCGGTGCTCGGCATACTCACATGCCCTTGTGTACAGTATATGATCGGTGCTCGGCATACTCACATGCCCTTGTGTACAGTATATGATCGGTGCTCGGCATACTCACATGCCCTTGTGCATAGTATATGATCGGCGCTCGGCATACTCACATGCCCTTGTGCACAGTATATGATCGGCGCTCGGCATACTCACATGCCCTTGTGTACAGTATATGATCGGCGCTCGGCATACTCACATGCCCTTGTGCCCAGTATATGATCGGCGCTCGGCATACTCACATGCGCCTAAACACTGACTGTGCCACATGCGAACAAACACCTACTTCCATCTTCTGGACATGCTCCTATGTTCTCACTTGAAACATGCATGAATGTTTGCAGGCCTATTCACATGCATGAATGTCTGCAGGACTATTCACATGCATGTACAGACAGCAGGGCATCATGACCTACACGGGTAGTAAGTTAGATGCGTGACTTCATCTACAACATAGCCTAACAGCATCCAATGGAGACAAACTTCAGGGCACCCTGTACTTAACAACATCCAACTGGGACTAACTTCAGGGCACCCTGTACTTGCGCTGGTTTCTTTTCCTTGCGGTGCTTGCCACGCATCTTGTCCGTGAACTTATTGGCAGTGGCCAAGGCTTTAACTCGGAACCGATTCCGGTCCTTGGGATGAGCAAGAGGCAGTGAATGGTGTGATCCAAGTGACGAGTTCTCGTCATCAGAGTCAGTTCCCCTCGCCGACATGGCATCGAGTTGGAAGATCTTTCTGCGCCAGTGCTGCAGGTAGATATCGTCCAGCAACACGTCGCATGGCCATTGCAGGTTGGCTGGGTCCGCGCTGGACGGAGAGTGCAGGGCGTACCACTGTGATGTGCCGTCAATGCGCGCCTCACTCAGCTTGATCAGTACCTACATTATGACGAGCACAACAGATACGTGTATGAGTGTATGGTATTACATGTGAATCACACACTGGTAGATAATTGACCTCTAGAACTCAGAGACTTTTCAACCATTTTTAAAAGGCTACAGGTCTTGACACCCAGGCTCTGCACTCCTTTTTGGCAATGAAAAAGACGTATATATACCTCAGCGACGCGGCCTGGGCATCATTCTCAACGACGTCACAATAGATGCGTCTTTAGCGCTGAACGGGTTAAACGTTTGGAAATCAGGATTTGCTACAAGTAATGTATTTTTTAAGCAATGCAAAGAGAGGCCATGCATCATACGCAATGCCTTATCTTTGGTCAAAGTAAATGCAAAATAACAAAGAAGCAGCACGATCCACAATGGTAGCTTTTCATGACAGCAAGCAAAATGCCTCCCCCCCCCCCCCTTCCACACACACACACATGCATGCATGCAAATACCGTAATGCCGGTGCTAAAGCCGGGTTTATTCCTGTAGCAAGCGATGACAGGGCTGTGCTTCTATTCAAATCGGGCTTCTAATCAAACCAGGTACTAGTACAGTAGTTCCATACATATCAACACTAAAAATCAGGCTATGTGACAACGGTGTATCCTGGAAATCAGGCTTGACTTCAAAACAGGCTTTTACATGTGTGTGAGACAGGCTTTAATACAAGATACTACAGTACATGCACTCACACACACGCACACGCACACACACACACACACACACACACACACACACACACACACACACACACACACACACATGCACATGCAAACATGTGCACACCAATGCACACACATTATGCATTCGGTATCCACAACGTCCTACACACATACCACGGCCAACCGCTTGGTGCTCTTCAGGAGAGGTATCTTACTCTTCGCTAGGACGGTAACCTTCAGCGTGTCGCTCTCTGACTGCAGAGAATCAAAGATAAACACTATCCTCAGTCAACACCACACCAGCCGCAATCAGATCACAAACCAACACCTACGTGAACACAAGTAGCATTGCAATAGACATACACTGTATTTGCATGCGGTACATCTCGGAATGAAATACCATACCCACTGCACCACTACATAGAATCATTCAGTTTGGCAAACTTCGCTTCATTGAAATGTGTGCATATGCAAGCAAGTGTGTGTGGGGGGGGGGGGTGGGGGGGGAGGGGGGGTGGGGGGGGAGGGGGGTGGGGGGGGGGGAGGGGGATCCCTGGGACAATCAAAGCAGTCAGACTCTGCAGACCATTGAACAGGATACTTGCATCATGATGTTGGCCCTGAACACTGCCAAGCTACACCATGATTACAGCGTTGCCTCGCAGTCACTCACACACATCTACCAAGGTATCTTGGTTGGTTTTCTGTAAGAGGGAAATCCTCTCAGGCTTATATTGTAGGGCCTCTTTAAATTGCACCCCAAGTATAACTAAGTTCAAAGTGTGGAAGACAGAAAAAGGGGTGAAGAGGCTTATGAGCGAATTTCAGGGGGAAAGCCTATTCCATTCGTCAGTACCTTAGTAATAGTATGGCAGGCAAGCACTACACCTGACTTTGGTACTTGTCTGGCAGGCAAGCACTACACCTGACCTTAGCAGGCAAGCACTACACCTGACCTTAGTAATAGTATGGCAGGCAAGCACTACACCTGACCTTAGTAATAGTATGGCAGGCAAGCACTACACCTGACTTTGGTTTGGGAAACAGGTAATAGGACTTGAAAGTGATTACGTCAGAAGTCCTCAGAAGTCAAAATCTAACGACAAATTAATACTGACTTTTGGATCACTCTACCCATGGTGAAGTATAGGATGTGGTGGTGGTGGTGGTGGTGGGGGGGGGGGGGGGGGACCCATTGTGTTGCACGTCGCCTACAGTATGATTGTTGTTTGCACTTGTATCAGGAGTGGGTCTATGACCGAAAGGATCCATTCCAGTTGCTATACTGTGACGGAAAACCACCCAAACATGTATGGGTCCATACAAAACTTGAATCCAAAGTCTGGCCTGGCTGGGACGTACAAGTAGCACTTTCAAGCTCTATTTCCACCCAAAGTAAACCTGGGGACGTCACGACTTACAGAAGTGGTGTGTACAGTAGTGTGTATAGTGGAGCATCAAAGGACAAAGAGGAAGAAGCAAGGTGGACTCAGCCTGACCAAGGTTATGGCGACAATGACCAAGCAAAACATAATTCAAGTTGTTAGGTCGCTAGCCCCCCCCCCCCCTCTCTTTAGTGCAATTATGGTCTACATGTCGTGTTGTTCTGGCCTTTGGGCCTCGACTGACTTACATGGAAGGCTTCCAACTGCAGATGCTCATACCAACATGGACTAGGGGATCGAGGTGACGGCTGAGTCATCTTCTCTGTTGACCTGCATTGTACATGCATTTAGAACATGTTGTGTAGCAAAACACAGATGTGCATACTCTGGTGTGCTCAGGATTATAACAATACCACAATGATGTATTTGACAAGTAGCATAATGATCTTCATGGATAGTGGCACTATCATGACTAAGGCATTAGTGGAGACCTTTCATAGTCTTTTCATCGACCACCATACCATAACTGCGCTCTCCAGCCGACCTCGACACGTTGCCATAGCACACCATCAGCAAAGTGACACATCCATTGGTACTGAATTCCTTCATGCAGCTGTTTCGAGTTATAAAACTCTTGTCGGTGAAGGTAGATATTGCATAGATATTGAAAGATCTGTACAGGGCCAAATGTTGCTGCTTACCCTTTATTAATTACCATTCACACTATTGGTTATAATGAAACGGATACGAGACGTGATTCCATTCAGAACAGCTGATCAGTACAGTGGATATCAGTGGCGTGTACAGGATTTGGCTGAGGGGGGGTCGCGGCCCGGATGGGGTGGGGGTAGATGACATCATGCTACTGTTCCAGGTCAGCCATTTTGAAAACCGATGTCAAGACCCCCGGACCCCCCCCCCCCCCCCCATCCTCAATTCCCCCCATTCAATTCTTTTTATAACCGTGCTGCATTGTTCTTTAATGCACTGCCCTCTGAACTCCGCAGTTCTTCACACACTCAGCATTTCATGCAGAAATTCAACAATATCATATCCCTAGTCAACATAAGGCCATCCACAGTGGTCTTGCTAATCCGCAAACCCTGACAGTAAGCTCAAACGCTGGAGAGCGGTGAGGGAGCATTTGATTCATGCTCGTCTCGTACTCGTAAGAAAGTGTGGGAGGTCTGCACTGCCTCACTGTAACCATACCGGTATACTACATACATGTATAAACGTCACACGTACATACATACACAACATACTCAAGTAGGGTGTCGAAAGAGAGAGAGAGAGAGAGAGAGAGAGAGAGAGAGAGAGAGAGAGAGAGAGAGAGAGAGAGAGAGAGAGAGAGAGAGAGAGAGAGAGAGAGGGAGGGAGGGAGGGAGGGAGGGAGGGAGGGAGGGAGGGAGAGAGAGAGAGAGAGAGAGAGAGAGAGAGAGAGAGAGAGAGAGAGGGAGGGAGGGAGGGATGGAGGGAGAGAGAGAGAGAGCAAGAGAACGAGAGAGAGGACGCTTTCCTGCGACTCTGAAATTCACGTTAAAGCAACACATTCTCTCTCTCCCGCTCTCCCTCTCCCTCTCTCTCTCTCTCTCTCTCTCTCTCTCTCTCTCTCTCTCTCTCTCTCTCTCTCTCTCTCTCACACTCTCTCTCCCCCCCCCCCTCTCTCTCTCTCTCTCTCTCTCTCCCTCTCTCTCTCTTCCCCCCCCCTCTCTCTCTCTCTCTCTCTCTCTCTCTCTCTCTCTCTCTCCATTATCAGTATTGAGTACATCAAGAACATACATACATACAATAATCATTGTGTTATGCATCCACACACGGTACACACTTTCTCGGAGATTTGACAATGCATGCTGAGACATGTAGGAGAGCTGATTGCATGCCCGTTGCGACTGGCAAGTAGCTGGCGCACATCACCTCCATCTTTAGACTCATGCTCGTTCCCTGTGGTCGCTTGGTGAGAGAAAGCTGCAAGTGGTGACATATTATGAGCACAGGTACGAAATGCACTAGTCGAGTACATGTTATGTTATGTATTACATACAGTGTACCGGTGTGTATGTTAGGTACCTCCTCCCGTACATTCTACAACCTTTTCTAAGCTGGACTGCATGCATCCCCGTACTTACCCTCATGCTCACCTTTTGTTCTGTTGGCCTGGGTAGCTACTTGCGCGCCCCTGTTTGCCATAGCTACCCAGGCCCTTTATCTTGCACGTTCTCTAAAACTCTCTCACTCTCTTTCATAATCGTATAGTCGTTTAGTTCGTCCTTCTCTCCGTCTCTCCGCCTCTCCGTCTATTATACATGTCTTGCCAGTACTAGTACCTATCCCAAATTGTTCCTTTGTGTCCGCGATAATGAGTCCCTTCTAGGACTGAACATGTCGACTGCAGAGATGTCTCAACATGTATATGTAGACTGCAGAGATGTTTAGCAGTATGCGTCATGTGACTGCATCTACATAGAAAGTGTAAACGGCATGTGTATAGTGTACTTCAGTAGATGGCATGTGGATAGTGCAACCAACATGGCCGACATCATGTGACCCAACCATGCAGGGATTGCCTGGAGTTGGGAGTCACTGGTAGCATGGTTGTCCAATATGCCGGGTTATGTGCATGGTAGATGTGCAACAGCTGTGTGAATGTCAAGAGGCTGTATACTGCAAGTCTACTTCAAAGTACGAATTTTCGACGCCTATATATTTGATCCTAGAGGGTGGTGGCATTCCCACGGCAGATGGGGAAAACTCGGCTTCCAGCCGGGTCTCACGCGAACCGTGACATTTTTATTTTTTATTTTATTATAATTCGACCTCCCAGGGCTAAAACACATTTTGGCCGCATTAAAATTTCGGCCTGTACTGCTGCTGCTTGTCTACACTGTCACACTGAACTTTGCAAAACAAAATTTAAGCCGCAACACATTTTCGGCCAATAATGAGCAGGCCGAAAATACCCGAAAATGACTATGCGCCGAATATTTGTTGACTTTAATACAGTAGCGTGCAGTGACATAGAGAGCTAGGCATGCACGCTGCTTTACCTGGATACGACCGTTGGGAAACAGATGATCTTTGCCCACCTTCAACTCCTACACACGCACACGCACACACACACACACACACACACACACACACACACACACACACACACACACACACACACACACACGCACACAAAGAAAACCTTGTTCTGCCACACCGAAGCTTCAATCAGTCTTCAAAGTAAACACTGACAAGCACAGGCAATAATATTGTCTGCACGAGTCACTCACGGCTTACCTTATCACCCAAATACAGCTCACTAGTGCTAGCTGGGGTTGGGTGTTCCCATGGCAATGCCCTTGTGACGTGCAATACAGGCGTGTACGCATCATTCACCGGCCAGTCCAGATAGATTGATACGCATCATACAGCTAGTAGGTTGATACATAGGGACAAAGGGACTGCCGGCATCTCACTTACCACCTCAGAGAACGAGTTTGGCAAGATGAGCTGTGCCGGGTCACAAAGTATTTGCGATGTCTTCATATGACACTCCTGATAGCTGTCGCCTGTACCCAAACATATGTACAATAGAAATTATTTAATTGATACGCAAAATACACGTATACACACACACACATATTGCATGTGACCATTTCTGGCTAACTAGCTCAAGATGTTTCCTACAGAAAATATCAAGAGAGAGTGGGTACACATAAATCTGTACCCTCCTTCTACCATGTATTTCTGATTGACTGCATGATCCATAGATAAGCATTCGGTTGCTTGTGGGTCATTCTTTTGAAAATTCAAAAAAATACATCCGTACCAAATGCAATCTGGCCAGATATTGTATTATTCTATTCGAGAAGTTTACACTACTCACCGAAGAAATGTGCAGGCACAATATGTACCTCCAATTCCGTATAGCGGCCATCTCTGAGCAATGATTGAAGACATACATATACACGGGAATGATCACGAAATCTTGAATAATTCAACGGATCAGTCGGGGAAGTGAACAGCCTGAAAAGACAAAAAATCAAGAAAAAATCGCCAGGACTCGAACCCGGGACCTTGCTTGTCTTGAGCAATGCTCTAACCACTGAGCTATGGGACCAGGCTGAACCAAGAAGGCGCTGACAAGTTCTTCACTCCAAAGGCAGCGCACAACACGTGCCACGCGTACTGATGGCACTTGGGTCTTTTTCTCTCCCCCAGGGGACCAACTACGGTCAGTTTGTTGGGCAGCATGCCAAAAGTTGAGAACAGAACTATTTGACGGTTACCTTGAACGACGACGCAGCCTCATATCCACGCTAGGCATCTTACAGTGATGCAGGATACTGGAAACACGCTTGAATGGCCGTCCGACAACATCCTTGTGGCCCCATGACAGGACTTCATCACCTGAAGTTCAAAGCATACAAACTAAACCGTTGGAGATCATCTCGAACTGTCACTGTCCTTGAAGTGTCAGTTCCCAGGCAGTTCAGGATGTATGCTGCAGCACCTTTACTGGCCCACTGTGTTATCTGTCCACACTACCATCCCAAGTCTGAGTGGATCAAGCCTCTGTGTCCACCTAGTCTCCCACTTGTTTTTCTCTCTATTAGTGTTCACTGTCAATACGGCTTTGATCTCTCATCTCCCCTCTCTCCGCCGCATTGCTCTCCCTTGCAGCCAATACCTAAACACATGTTCTCTTCCAGTGCATGCTGAAATTGGCCACCAACTTTTGAAAACTATCAATATGAGAATGACCATTTTCCTGGATTGCAACCGGGGCGAGTCAACAGCTCTTACCATATCAGCCAGCGTAAACAATACGTGCCATAGATAAGGATACATTCACGGTGTAGTCACCAGATGGCCTTACCCATCATTACTCCAGCTGATGCTGCTGAGCTCCCAGCCATCACTTGACACACATACGTCCTCAGCACACCACCGCTTGATGACAATCCACAGACCAAAACTAGGCCCCAGCCACCTACACAAACCATGAAGCAGGTATTTTGTGCACAAGATGTAATGTTGCATGGAACACAGCCTTTGAAACTCGTGACCTAGTCATTCACTTATTGGGGTGACCAACATTAGGCCATTCAAAATCACCAGTCTTACAAAGTTGTGCATGCCGCTTCCCCTCAGCACACCTACCACTCACCCCTTGCATAATTAGGCAACGAGCATATCCGAGTTCTAGTGCTGGGAGAAAAATGTCAGTTGGTTGATTGTTACTTGAGCCCACAACATCAATTGACTGATACTAGTACACAGTACAACAATGGAGCAGGAAGGATAGTTCATTGCAATTCTGAGTTACATGCTCATTACCGTGAATGCAACCCGATCAGGCAACATGAAGATGCTGTTGGCCACGTCAGAATATATGCGAGGAGAAACGTGGAGGTGTTTGTGGCTATTGTGGTGTGGTACTGATACTAGTGTAGGATCAATGTACTCAATCTCCGGACCGCGCCGCTAGCTGTTTCGACCTTGTTAGGTCTCCTCAGTAAAGCTCAGAGTTACCAGCCGAACCAATCACAATGGAGTCGAATGAACAACACAGCATTTTTATACAGGCTCAAAGCATCAAAGTTAGAGTGCTCTAGCTGTGCAACAAACACAGCGAGCTTTGCACGAGGGCAGATAACTTTGACACTAGCCAGAAAGACCAAGCCAAGGCGAGGAAACATGATGATCAATGTATACGGTCAGAGTCGCTCCCGTACCTTGACATTCTGATCTATGTACATGTATATGGTCAGAGTCGCTCCCCTACCTTGACATTCTGTTCTCACTCTCCATTCACTGCTCCGCCAGAACCCTGATGACAGTGAGTAGTGCCACCTCATTGAGCATACGCTGCACATGTGCTGATTGCACACGGAGAAAGAAGAATAGGAAGATATACCATAGTTCAAATTGTGTAACTCGAAGCTTGTGCGGTCTGATGATGTCTGGTGATCACTTAACGTCTCGGAAACTCTGAACATATATATATATATATAACAGGAATTGAATCCCAGTGATCGACTTGCCAGTTTGCTGCTATCTGGTTTGATTCCGGGCAAAGTAGATGTTGGAATATACGCAAGTATCATGGTGAGTAAAACTCACTGTTTCCGCTGATCCAGTAGATGTCGGCGACGCATTCGGCTCACCCCGCCGGCCGCACAAGCTACAGATTTCAAAGCTAGAGGCTGAATTAGCACGCTTGCTGGCATCAGTAGCAAAGGTGCGGCCACCTTTCTTACGCAGTGACATAGTGACTTGCATCGAGTTGTACCGAGCCTGTAGATGTCTTCAGAAAAGAACAGGTGATGCAGAGTACACGAAGGTTTTGAGAGGAGTATTAATTTGGCTTTGAATGCAGCCAGTCTGTATATTTGGCTCTCTCTTTTTTTTCTTTCTCCCCCCCCCCCCCCCCCGCCCCCGCCTTCCTGTTGTCCTCCCCTCTCAATATACTGGTACATCGAGTCCTTTCTTTCTCTCTGTGTCTCATTTCCTCAGCATTTTGCCTGTCTCGCTTCTCTTGATCTGATGTGGAGCAGCCATCCATTGCATTATTACTTTGAAGTACTTGGAAGTATTTGGTACAAAATATTTGGTACAAAACCCTGCCTGCCTGTCCTGTCATGCACTAACCTTGAGTGCTGCGATGCTCGCTCATCCCATGCCACTGCCTTGTTGACCACCTTGCTGATGCAGTCCTGTTCATCAGAGCACAGGCCAGTCATATCGATGTTGAAAACGCGAATTGTCCCATGCTCTTGAAGAGCGCAGCCCGTGACGACCATTGTTGGGTCACACTCAGGCTTGCCTCAAATCTCCTCCTTGATGCCGTTCTCTGTACAGAACACAAGGCATGTAAAGGAGAACAACAAGAATCAACCCAGACATTGAGACCACACATTGCTCAGCTATGACAGGCTTAATTCGCAGTATGACTATGGTGCATCCTATGAAGTTTAGTCATGAGCCGCAACGACAGAGAAGTCATAGTACCTTCGCATAAATAATGTACAGGGCTGCGGAGGGGACACTCTGTTTAAAACAGCCGTAGGAATAGATCACTGTGCAGCACCTGCCACAACAGTGTGTCTCAGTGTACACCTATCTACATGTACAACTGTGTCATCTCAACTACATAACAGTGAAGGCTTAGTAAAACCTAAATCTCACGGTGTAAAAATCTGTACTTTGGAGCCGAGGTACTCTACATCTGACCAGTCAAACACGCTGCAGGTATAGGATAACGAGGGGTCCTTCAACGTCGTACTTAGTACCCAATGGCACAGTCCTGGATAGAGAAATCCGACCTCATGACTATAAAAGTATTGGGGTTACGCAGCCCTAGCAGTAGCACCACACGCACTGATCTGCTCACTTGAGCGTGACGCTGCTTTTTTCCTGAGATCGGATTTCTCTGGCCAGTAGTAGTAGTTATATTATTTTACAGTATTGTACATGTCGTTACATCCAATGCCAACGGATTGTTACCATGATTACATTACATCCAATGGCATGTTTTGTCACGGGTAGGAACTGTTTCGATGGTACTATACTGGTACTGCTTGTACTGCTTGTAGTATGATGTTGGCATTGATCAATAGGTTTACTTGTACTACAGTAGTAGTCCGACACACCACAGAGCAGCCTGGCATCTGCAGTTTCCACAGTCGCTTACAGGCCTCTTTCCATAGTGGCCCCTGGGTTGTTCAATCATAACCCAAATTGTCGCATATTCAACATCGCAGCTGAGATGAGTTTTGAAACCAGCATAAACTAACCACAGTGACCTGATCGTGTGACCTTACGCCGGACTTACTGGACATCATTTCAAAGAACCCTGTTTGCCCCTTCCATCAAACATGTACTTTTGGCTCTCAAATAATTCCTGTGGATGCACACATGTTCAGTGTGTGCATGTACATGTATGTGCATGCTCAGTGATCTAGGATCAATATGGAAACAGTACACATAGTGTCCGGTACGCGGTGTGAACATGATCACGAGAATCAGAGACCTCATCATCTATACCGTACAATTTACAAAGCTAACAAAGCATAATCTTCATTCAGATAATCAGTTAGCCAGGATATCCTGATTGAGCCGGCTAGCATCGCATACATCCACAGTCAGTGCCCGTATTTTTTTAGATCGTGCCATCTTTCATGTTCTCCTTCCTTGCTTTTCTTTCCTCGGCATTTGTTTCCATAGTTGCTACCTGTGACATTCGCAGACATCCGGGTTTGCTCACTCTCACTCGTCAGGGAGACACTGTGACGGCGTGAGTGATGCACATAATAATATTGCGTAGAAAAGAGAGCACTCGTGAGCTCAGTGGAGTGTCACAGGTCAGTGAAGCCTAGGCCTCAGGTCGGCGGATATACTCCAGTTTCACCCCCAAATTTGCAACAGCAGCCACCTCTACAATCCAGACTCCGTTGTTGTTATTTTGAAATCTTTATTCTCACGATAGCCAGTGGCCAATAAGAGATTGTTGTTGTTGTTGTTGTCGTAGAAGTTTATTTAACCGTCGCACCACAAACAGGCGGTTTCGCCTCCTTTGATACATGTGGATGACAGAGGGAATGAGAGAGAGAGAAGTGGGGGGGGGGGGACAGAAATACAGAGAGAGGAAGGGTAGAAAATAAATAAGTGAATCAACCTCAGGGCTACACTACAACAAAACGGAATGGGAATTCCATAATACAAAATAGCACCATGCAATATTGCAAAACACGTTTCCTATTCTTTAGTCCGCTATACCACAGAAACACAGTAGCCAAAAAGCATTTAAACGGAGCCATGATGCGCTTTTAGCAAGGCACAGAACTGAAGATGGCTGGGCTCGGAAAGGAGATCAGGCGGGAGCTGGTTCCACAGGATTGCGCCGATGAACTGTATGGTCGCTTGACCCGCAAGACCCGGCCAAAATGGTACTTGGAAAAGGTGGTGTGCTGCTCTCTGAGTGCGGTCACCAGTAACCCTCAGGAAGAAGCTGGTGAAGAGAGAGAGAGCTAGCTTGAGAGAACAGACAACGACGGACAAAGAGGAGGAGCTTGATATAAAACATGTCCTCCATGGTGGTGAGGCGGAGCTGTTGAAAGATTGGGCTCGTGCGCGACCATGGTGGCAGACCGAAGAAGCCGCGGATAGCGCACTTCGTTAGCCGTGTCAGGGGCCCCATGTTGTTAATTGCTAGTGACGGATAAACGTGTTGGAAGCGTACGACAACCTACCCTGGATCATCGACCTGTAAAACAGGATCTTTGACGCCAGGGTGAGGCTTCGGCGGCTCCGCCACAGCGCACCTACTGAAAATGGAGGGGGCGGGTTGGAGGAGTGGATGGTGCTTTAGGCAGAACTTCGTATTCTAATATTTTTACTGTGCTTGGCCATACCTCCAGGAGTTCAATGTTGTTAGGCAGCTACTGTAGCTGGAAGGTGTGGCCTCGCCTGGACCTGGACTGGAGGCAGGGGAATGCATGATGGCGATTGGCATGCTTGTGCTAAGTTGTGGCCAGGGAGTCATCAAATACCCTGCTTATGGCATGGTGCACAAGAGTCGGGGGTGCTGTCCTGTGCAACAGCCACACAACTGTATTCCATTTTCCAACGTACACTGGTCGCTGTAGATTTCACAAAGCAAAAGGACTATAACTTCGAAGCCTTGTACACTGGCTGTCGTGTTCTAGCGAAGACTCTTGCGTGCCCACGTGAACATGGGTAGTATGGAGGCCCCTCGGGTATCCGCCCGCCTTCTCCATCGAGCTGAAGCATCCCACTAACTTCCGAGGTAATCTGATGCCATGATTTGGTAGAGTGGCGTAACTTCAATGATCTAATGAAAGTGAGGTGGTCGACGGAGAGCGAAGTAAGTTAGTTCCACTGTATGGCCGACTACAGCCTACAGCCTACAGCCACCTGGATTACATAGAGACTAGTACTAATACACTGGCATAGTATTGTATTATATAACCCAATACTAGTTCAAAACTAGTATTAGATAAAGTCATCATAAACCTTGTTATAGTTTCATGCTGTCAATCTAACAATAATTATGGTATAGTATTGTAATATCGTATGTTCTTTGTGAGACTTTGAGCCGGAGATGATGAGTAGATCTACCTCCGTGTTGACTTTTGCAGATAACCATGATAACACCATCGTGACTGGGATTTACGAATGAGCGAACTACAACTATACTTGTGACCATGGTGACGGCGGATGTCGACTCTTCGTCGCCTCTTCGATCTTGCCGTTGTCAAAGCCTAATACTTGATTGTGTCGCGAAAAGACACAAGAATGAAAGATCAAGAATAGAGGACTGACTCACTGAGTGAGTCTGCACTGATCTGAGTCTGTCGTTCTGATGTGATAACCATGATAACTGATGGTTCGAAAAAGATCAAAGAGCACAGACAACTGAGACATAATCTACTCAGGATGGAAGTATTTTAAAGTTTATAGCAGGAAAGCAGAGTAAAGAGTTTTTACGACAGCTAGAAATCTGTGCGAGTAACGTTAGGACCTTCGCTTAGGATTGCACTTGCAAATAATTCCTCACCTAAAGTTAGTTCGTCACAGGAGCTTGGCGCTGAAGCGCAGACGAACCCAAGCTAGAATGGAACCACGCTTAGACGACGCTAACCTCCTCAAGAGCATTGTAGCCGAAAGATGGAGCCAAGAACAAGGTGAGAATGAAGACGACACAGAGCAATCAGTTTCGGAGATAGCAAGCAGAAATGTTTGCCCCGATCACTTGGCGAGCAGCTGTGTATTCCTTGTCGGTAATCGGCTCGCTCCCATTCAGCCATCCCGAAAAGAACTTCACTTCTCGGGCTGCGAAAGCGGTGTAAAAATGAGGAAGTCACTGCAGTTGATGAACGCTACATCAGTGAGACAGCGCTACCATTTACTGCCAAACACGACGAGCTATTTCAAAGTGACGGTTAGAAAACGACCCGGAGGACTTGTACCTGGTATGGGAGACGAACTAGTAGTGGACCTGCTGATCCCATTCGGCGAGGAGCTGAAGGCTTGCTATTCTGATCACGTTCGAATTCATTGTGATGGTGGTGAGCACATAAAGATTCCTCTGTTAGCTTATCGGTGCTCTGGTGCTCGCCTGCCCAAACATATCAACTACGGGGCACGTTCCCTGCTCGCACAGCACACGAAAACGCTGTCGATTACAAACTGTAGCAAGGAGCAAGACTTTCCCTTCAGACTATGTCTAGAGTGTACCGATGGCTGTTTCGAAGTATCTCCACCTGAAGGCATCATACCAAGTCAAGGCCGTGCAGAAATTGCCATCGTCTATCAGCCGACGGAGTACTCAACTTCCAGGGGAACGCTAACTCTGACTGTCGAGGAGCTATTCTGCAAAGCTCAAACATGCAATCTTGTTGGCAGCTGCGTTCCTGGAAAACCCTGATCCCTGTGCAGAGGTAGAAAGCCTTGTGACAGTCGCGCCAGAACACCTCAGAATGACTGGAACCTGGGATATGGCACGCAGGTATGGTGAGTTCCTGGGCAGTCACCATTGCTTTGGACGTGAAGTGAAATCAAACCTTGCTGTAGATACCCGTGGTTGGTTACAAAAACCCTGCAATCGCCACGCAAAGTGGTCATTGGTTACCCCAGCCATGTATTGCTTGGAATAAAATAAATATATAAATACTGTGGCAGCAATATGAACAGTGTCGATTCACCCGGACATGCAAACTAGCATGAGTGATCCCTGGTCATATTGCAATACGAACAGTAAACAGCACACTGGCTGCACAGTCCCTGGTTCAAGCAGGGCTAGTGCTATGTGCTTCTAAGTTTTAATGCAAAGAACACAAGTTGTGTAAATTGAGTGATGATTATTGTGCCCTTGAAGATACGCATGTGCAACACAGTTTAGATCTCCTCCGACTGTCATATTTTCACAGCATAAACACAGTGCATGATAGCATTTTGCATAAACATATCGTCATAAACCCTTTCCCTTCGGTAAATAATAATTGAGCCCTCTACGGACCGGTGAGTGAGCTTCACATGGTATCGTCATAAACGTAAACTTTCAACTCTCTCGTCTTTGGTTCTGCTCCCTTTACTCGATTGAGGAAAATCTCTGTAAGAACTGGATCACAGAGATGCAGTGTCAACGGTGTACTAGAAGCAACTGACACGGCCAGAAGTGAATCACGGTTCAGACTGCACTGTGTGCATAGGACTCTATGTGTGCACGCCTTGTGCATGTGTCTACATGTGTTTGCATATAACGTGCATGATACATCGAATTTGGCAGTACATGCATATGAGCTGCTTCTGCTCAGCTCCTGCCTATTCTGCCTATTCATGCCAGCATATACTTACTAGGGAAGTGCATGTTTGTCGATTGCCAGATTACAGCCTCGAAAATCTCAGAAGTCGAACAATGTAATCGAAAGAATTCGAGCTCAAGGCTAAAACTAGTATGATGCTGGTCTGAACAAATATACATGTACACTGCCACACCGGTGAACAATGTCCCAATATTTGCTGCCCTTTTTGGCAACCGGTATATTCCCGATGGAGTGCACACATGCACAAATGTTGTTTACCAATAGCTAGGAGGGAGCTCGTTTTCACTCTACATGTATGTTAAACAAGTTAGCAAAGGAACTAGGCTGAATTAAGGTGTTTCATGGCTATCCGCCCATCCTCAGACAACAAAGCTCAGTGTTGTATACGTATGTTATAAATTACTTTGTAGGACTAGTGAGCCTGATATAACATGGCTGTATAGGCCATGTCAAATCCAACAGGTATTGGTTGCTTCTACTAACATAGGACCGCGATTACGCCAGTGCCGATAAACAAAGCACAATAAGTGTTGTTGTGTACTTGTGATATGCGTGATTATCCCCTGGTCAAACCGTTGTAGGTCTGTGATTATTGCCAGGAATAGCCCGAAGGAAGGCTGAAAGAGAATGTCTTGCAAGAAAAACATTCAAAACTAGGCATGCATTTATAGGTTCATAGCTGTCGTAACAACATCAGCCATAACCATGGTAACAACATGCCATAACCATGGTAACAACTTGCCATAACCAGGAGCGTGTATCCGTACCTATGTGTCAGTGTGATGCAAGCTGTCCTCATTACCTAAGACGCCTAAAGCAAACCCTGCACTTGAAATACAGCCAGCTCTTTCACCAGCACATCTGTTTTGCTTGATTCGAGTACCTATGTGATCTCCAGGTTTTGGGAGCATGAACCATCCCAGTTCCGTGATAAAGTTGGTTTCAAACCAGAAGAATGCTTCAACGTTCGATTCTCCACACTGCACGGATGTAGCTGCATGATGTGATGAAGGGTGTGAGCTGCGCATCCAGCCCATTGAAGATAGGTCACAGTTGCATACCCTCAGTTCAATGTTTGCCTTTCGGTTATAGTGAAACAAATGTTACAAGAATGGATAGCACAATAATCCTAACCTTGTAACATGGAAAAATGTTTTTAAGAAATTGTGGGCACAAGTTATCGAGCAGTGCTCAAGCTGACTCTCATGCCGTGGAATGTCTCAGTACTCCTTGTCAGTTTTGTGCTAGATTGCGCACGTCTGACCGTTCAAAATCTGGTTTAGTTGGTGGACTCAATCGCATAACTTGTGCCCACATGTTTCCATGCTACAAAGTTTTTCCTTGGCTCACCATCTGACCATCTGAGTTCTTAACGAGAGAGCTTGGAAGCTCAGGGCCCTACGCTATGCTTTGTTACTTAGCTCATCGTGCATGTTGTGGGAACTGATGGAAATGTTTCCTGGAACGGCGCTGACTCTGCCGAGCACGCGCGTTCTGGAGTCGACGGGATCTCTCTGCCGACGTTTCCTGTGACCGGCGCTGACTCGCCCGTTCACGCCTATTTTGGAGACGACGGGATGTCTCTTCCAAAGTATGTTTTTACTGACGCATCCTATCACCTATTCGGCAACTAACATCCATTCTAATTTCATTTCCTCCTCGTCTCCCTATTTCTTTCCAGAAAGTCTCTCTATACTTCAGGGAGTCGTACTGTATTGGCAGCTACCCTAACGGGTCACGCCGCCCACCACCCAAGCATGGGTATGATGAGGGACAGTGGCAACAGAAACAAAAAAAACAGCAAGCAGGGAGAGAAAGCAAGAGAAAGACCGCGATAGTAGTACATCTGGTGTGCGACGTATAGAAAAGAGAGATGACAAGAGATGCGCACAAAATAGGAAACAATAATTATTTTTGCAGTTCCGAAACAATCAACCAGGTGATGGAGTGTGGGCACCCGAAGTCCCACCTGGACTCCACTGGAAGAACATCCCACGCAGGGATATCAGCGATAGGCCAAGCGTTGAAAAACAGCCATGAGGACACATCGTCTAGAAGTCCACCGCGCTCGAACTGAAATTGCAGGTTCAAACAATTTCCCACGCGGCGTCAGGCAGCGTAACTCTTCTCCCTGCATCACCATCCATCTCCAGCAACCGTCTCCACTCACAGCTCATGCCTCTGCCACCACTGTACTCCTCCGAGCTTCGCAGTTTGAAACCATTCGGGGGTCAGCTACACCACCGCGAATGGAGAGCCGAGGACGACAACGGTCGTGACTGAAAAGACACTGCCTTGGCGACCGCGTCGCGGAACCCTCGCCCCAGCAAATTCAGAAATACGCCAGGGGCAACTCTGGTGGACCCAGAGCCACCCCCTTGGCAAGACTAGTAAGAGGAACGACTGAAAACTCAGATTAAACGGAGCTCCGAAAAGTGCAACCGTCCCCTTCAAGCACAGTTGCAACACACAGGGAGTCGTATACATGTACATGTACATAATATTGTGGCCAGCTGTTTGTAGCCAGCTGTGTTTGATGGTACGGTACGGTACGGGACAGATACGGGAGCCAGCAAATGGCCAGCTGTGCGATACGGTACGGGACAGATACGGGATAGCGCCAGGCGTGACACAAACAAACAAACAAACACCAAATTAAAGCTGTGTGGACCCTGGCTAGCGCCAGACGTTACTGAAGTAACGTCTTCTGCATAGCTACGGGAATAATACTAACAGTTAGACCGTAGTGTGCCGCACATTGTGAGCGACTCTGACTTTGCACTCAGGTCAATGCTGTGCTTGACTATGTACAGCCGTTATCAGGCATGGTGGTGGCCTGGCACAAGCGAAACTTCCTAAGCTGGTTATGCCTCTTAACACTATTGCATAGCCGTTGGTAACGTGAATGTGTGACCTTTACTTTACTGTTCACCAGTAACTCAGCATGCTAGTATCCGAGTGCCGGCACTGCCTCAGGTAATCTCAGAGTGACGAGTCGACAGCACAGTGATGTACCGTTCTTTGTGTATGGAGCGATTTTCACCGGCCATTACAGAGCGGTGCGAACATGTATACAGTATCATGCACGGCAATGACTATTGATCACATGACACTGACACTAGGCGAAAAGAAACTGTAGTTTTAGACCCCATTTCATTTGGTGATTTATAAAAGGATACAACAGGAGCAATAGCAACAAGACCGCAGCGGTTACAAACGTTGCCTACACGCATGCAGCTGTCAGGCAACATTCACACACACACACCATGTTGCTATGAATCCACTAAATGTTGAGGCCACCAGGGAATAACGTAGACCAACAAATCTCGCTACCTGCGATGAATCATGCTGTCCAACAAACGAAGTATCCGATTTTCGTTCCTGTTCTGACTGGTTCAAGTTATCAACGGTTCAGCCCATCAATGCGACAGTATGTCTCCGCTGCGTCACGCTGTTCGCAATGAGTCACGTTTGCTGCAGCACCCTCACATTTCTAGGCAGTATTACCAGTGATTACCTAGCAGAGCACGTTATTTTTGACGTGATGCGCAATTTCACGTAAAATGTGTTATCAATTGGCATAAAACGCCAAATTTCGATGTGAGATGCAGCTCTCTGGCGTTTTTCCAACGCCGCGACAAGTCAAATAACGTGAGCAGAACTTTTACGTTGCGTCAAAAGCGACGTGCAGCTGAACCTCTCTAATATCTCACCCACTAATGGAGGTTGAGTTTTACTTTCCTCACTGTTTTTCTTCTTCTCGTAATTGCGCCATGGCTGGGTATCGCAATCTTCTCTGGGATTGCTCCCCATGTTGGCGTTGCTGGCATATACTCAGATCAGATTGAGTTCAATAACTAAATTAATAAAAATATTTTTTTAATGATAGCCGACAGTCTAAATAATACTGACTATAGCTTAGAGGGGCAACTATGCACTGTGCGGGAGCTGACGCTATCACACTGCATGCGCAAGCACACATTCTACACAAAGCAGTACTTACATAAAATGATTGAGCACGCAGGGCCGATTCAGGTCGATCTGGTCCGAGCTGCCTTTTAGCTAATTTTTCTTGCAGCGACTTTCCTCGACGATTCACAGATGCGCGCTTAGTGGCATAGCTTTGTGGTTGAAAACTGGAGAAGTCTGCAGGGTGACCTGAACAAACCCGACAGCTAGTCCAAGCAAGAACTGAAGACTGATAGGAGTAGAAAGAGTGATCACGAATTCTATTTAGCTTTATAGTGTAGCTGTTGCCCCAAGTACAACAAAGCAATAGTTAGAACTCCTTGCTCTGTGGAGGACTGAGCGACTTTTCACACCTGCGCCTGCAACTGATCTGACGTTAGTCGTTAGTGAAGGGAAGTCATGACTCGTAGATCTACTGATGTGCTACGAGATTAGTAATACAGTCTGTAGCATGCAACACGCAGAAAGTCACAGACTCAGTCGTCCTTCGTGCATGGTCCTACTCCTACTGACTAACCATGCATGCTAACTGACTCTGTCAAATGCAGTACAGTAGATCTACTAGTAGCTTGCACTGATGACTTCCGTTTCTTCCACCGGCAGCGTGACACGGGATGTCTTTCTCATGACTTCACAACTGACTTCCACGGCGCGTCTTCGATGTTTGATCGCATCATCCCTTTTTCTTTCCTTCTTTTCGCAAGATACACAACTCACCGGCAGACGCTAGCATGAGGCGAGACGGTGTTGATGGGACCTGCCATGCTCAGCCGACCAGAGCCTAGGTCTCAACAACTTCGAATGGCAGGCACACTGGGAATTGAAGGGAAAGCGGAAGCAAGGGCGAAATAATAATTCTTCGAAAGAGAGTGGAGGACCTAACTATTTGGAACGCAGCAGAGAATAGCAAAGAATAAAACAGATGACGGGAGTGAAGAAGAGCCAGTGTCAAATGAAGGGTAGTACCATTAGGGTAGAAGTGGAATTAAGGGTGGGCAGGATTTTGACTTGGGGTAGAAGAAGCACTGAGGCATGACCACGGAAGAGGCTAGACTAGGCTAGAAGCTACCCCAAGTCAAAATGCTGCCCACCCTTAATTTCCACTTCTACCCTAATGGTACCCATCATTTTCTTCACTCCCATCATCTGTTTTATTCTTTCCTATTCTCTGCTGCGTTCCAAGTAATTAGATCCTCCACTCTCTTCCAAAGAATTTCGCCCTTGCTTATGCTTTCCCCTTCAATTTGGTGTGCCTGCCATTCGAGTGGTCGGTTGCCCAATCCCAGTAGGACTGGCGCAGGTGGTTGTAGACCTTCTTGAAGATCTGCATTGACTTCGAGGAAGCTAGGGTGAGCTCTGAGGATAGAGGCTGGGAGGCACTTCCATGTCTCAATCATAGCGTGGGGGAAGGACCGAAGGACATCGTACCGAGACTGAGGTGGGGCAATGTTTGCCAGGTGGAACTGACGGTGGCTCGCGATTGTACGGACGCTGGTCCGGGTGCATGCTGCGCCGGGTTGGGGCTGGGACCATGGCAGGGCCAGTAAGGACGGTAGTGAAGTGACTGAAGCTTGAAGAAGTAGCTTTATGTCCGCTTGTTGTTGTTGTTGTTGTTGTTGTTGTTGTTGTTTGAATTATTTATTCTCACGATGGCACCATCGTTGTTGTTGTTGTTGTTGTTGTTGTTGTTGCTGTTGTTGTTGTTGTTGTTGTTGATGTTGTATTTTGTTGGCGTTCTTGTGCAGCAGTTTAAAAACATTGTGACTCTTCGGCCTTTGTTGCCTTGCCTCAACCATGGTTATCCTATTCTGGTAGTTGAAGTTGAGCACGATGTAGCCATTGCCATTGTAGTGAACAACTGGATAGCAGCCGTCGCAATCTGAACGGATCATGTTGAGGACATCTTGCCGGTACGACTACGAGTCTCATACCCTTTCGTAGACGACAAATCAATGCAGCAAAAGCACAGCATGGGAGCGCGATAAACATGTGACGCCACTGCACTATGAAGTGTGATAACAGCATCATGAATACCATCACTGCACACACAGATGTGATCCCAACCCACGTCCTCTAAACAGGACTTCTATTCCATCCACAAAACCTACAGTACTGTAGCTCCGCTCACCTACAATGTACTTGTATGTACCGCCATACTGTACAACTACGGGTGCAACTGATGTGGTACAGAAAACCTTTGTTTATGATGCAACTCTGGTGTTAAAAAAGAACAGTTGAAAGAGATGATTGTATGACCTTTAGCGTTGCCTTTCATTATAATTATGCTGAGTTTAGGCATACATGCATGTTTGGCACTCGCAGTGGATCTAACCATAGAACGTTAACATAATTATTCAATTAAAGGTCATGTACTGTATAACGGATGCAGTTTACAGGGTTATGGGCCGTTACACGCCCGATAGGGCTTGAAAGTGATGACGTCAAAAACGGCCAGGGAGTACTAAGTTGACATCAGATTTTTATTTTGGATCCACTAAGGTGTGACTTTGCTATTGCCTCAGTATGTGGGTGCATAGCAACCCACTCATGTCGTATGCAGGGGTGATTTTTACTTCGACACCAGTTGTAACCCCGCCCCCAGTAGCCAAATCAGTCAGTTTCACTGGTAACATCACCTTGCTGTGAGTAAGACGGCTTGAAATGTGCTTGGATCCATACAAAAACTGGATCCAAGTGGATCCAATTTTTGAATTTTTGAAATTGTTGCTATGCTGTGACGTAGCACTTTCAAGCCCTATTGGTTGAGAGACTCACCTACTCTCCCCTGACTCACTTGTGAGGTCTGCATTTGCCACTAAGGTGTACAAGGCATAGGCATAGTGGTGGCCTGCGGAAGCGAAGGCTAGTTTGTGTGTTTCTGAACATTCAAGCGATGCCAACGCGAATCCCGCGAATTATTATTATTATTATTACTGTATAATGAATCGCATGAAGGACTCGAACTCTGCACAGTGTATACTGTATGATATGTACTGAAGTATCAATGGAACGACCCTACAACTCACAGTACCTTTTTGATCCTATTGTTATAAACTTCTGCCAGTATGACTATAAGACGAAGTGAATACAGCAGTATTCACTTCGTCTTAGGATTACACATGGGGAAGTTGCCACACTGGGGTGTGAGCCTGCCTCTCTCATACCTTCACTACGCACGGCGTTACGCTTCGGTTTTGCAGTTTTACAGGGTTGCACAGTGCACAGTAGTTTGTAGCTGAGCTGAAACATCTATTTCGACACTGCTAAGCATTTTAAAATTCCTGACTGATAACCTCAGAGTCACGGTCCACATTCATGTCCGTGTGTGTTGACGGAGTAGGCACTCTCTGCACTTAGATCTACAGGATAAAGGTGTTTGAACAGGCTGGGAGACGCGCCGAACAAGATTGTCTTGTGACTCATGAGCCAGTGCCAATGTGTTCCATTATTCAATAATCTTGACAGCGTACTTGGCATCACCCCTACAATGTACAATGTACAATGTAGATCATGAATCTTGGACAACCGCTGTGTATTGTGTATAACAGTGTAAGAGCGTTTCACGCCAGTAATTTGAAAACAGGCAGACTAAAAATTAAGTGCAATGTAGACAGGAACTTGAGGAAGTGGTTTAGAGCAGAGATGCTCGTTCCCAGTAACTCTCCAATTAAATATCAAACTCGGGTTTGATAATTGCAGAGAGATTGGGAAAGAGCAGGTCTGCTCTACACCAGGGACCCCTACGTGTAAGGCTCGCTGCTCTACACCACTTCCTGTGTATGAAGCTGCAGGAAGCATCACCACTCCTACTACAATGTAAACTTCCACCCTGTAAGAAGACCTTATGGTCTGTTGGGAATGCCCTACCTAGTAAAATAATAAAATACAATACAAGTACAAAAATAACAGAATCATGGGAGACTCTTTGAAATGCTGCTTCGAAGTTTTGTCTTCGAATATGCTGGAAGCAGTCCTGTAGGCGTGTGTGGTTGTCAAAGTGGTTAGAGCATTGGTCTTCCAACCATGACGTTGTCGGTTCAATTCCCAGCGTGAGCGAAGATTATTTCCATCCCCTAGGAGACCCATCTGGGGCTGGGTACCTGACTTCGGCTGGGGGGGGGGGGCAAGGGCGATGAGGGAGAGGAGATGAGCACCACCCTCACTCTGTTGAGCTCTGTGAAACAGGAGGTCACTAACACATCTTGCCCCTGCGGTCAAATTTGACTATGGGCTACCTTAACCTTAACCTTTACTCTCTTTTTTGCAAAGGATGATTATTGTAACAAGAAAGAATCCTCAGCCTTCTCTGATGAGGTCTTACTGACCGAAACAGCTGTCGGAAGGAATTAAAAAAATTAGTTTCAGTACTCCGAAGGAACCTCTTGTTGCTGTTGTGGGGAATGCGTGGTCGGCCGCAGAGCGCAACGGTGGTGGTGGGGAAGTGCACTCCGGATGATAATTGTTCTGACGAATACACTGGACCCGTGCCTGCATAGCGTGCGTGATACAAATACGTAACAACAATTATCATGTTATCATGAACTTTGCAGGGTGGTGGCGTTCCCCCCACGGATGCTGAAAACTCAGTCTAACCGAGTATCTAAGCGAACCATGAAATTTAATTTTCATGTTGTTGGCTGCCCACTCGCTGCAAACAACCAAAATATGGTGTTCGGAAGATAAGCCGACCTGTGCCGAAATTTGCACCTGTATGCTGTGGTATTGAGATAATTATTTTGTTTAGTGAGAGAGCATAAACATGTACTGTATATCTGCCAATCTCCAATACTCGGTGGGAGGACCTGAGGGAGGACCTGTGGGAGGACCTGTGGGAGGCATAATCATGATAATTATCGGCCGGCATAATCATGATAATTATTGGCATAATTTGGTGCTTGAAAATTTGGAGCATAATTTGGCATCCTTTGGGAGGTAAGAGCATAACTACATGATTGTACCTGTGGGAGGACCTGTGGGAGGACCTGTGGGAGGACCTGTGGGAGGACCTGTCCTCGCGGAGCATTTCTGAGACATGGGGTGATAGTACTGTATTTCAGGAAAAGCGTGTCACGTGAGTGTGTCATGTACATGTACATGACACACTTTCACCTTATGTAGTCAATGGCTATTGAATGTGATTCGGACGTGGGCTTCAGTTAATTGCCAATTCTCAATTCCTGCACTCTAAGATGCTGACATTTAATTGCTAATTCTCAATGCGGCTTGCCAGCACTCTAAGATGCTGACATTTAATTGCTAATTCTCAATGCGGCTTGCCAACACTCTAAGATGCTAATAGGATTGTTTTGCAATCTACAGAAGTCACTCCTGATACACACGGATACAAGGAAACACGCACCACGCACCACGCATCTTTGTAGGTGCCTCACTAATCCATCATGTTCGTGGGCAATCATCAGACAGATGATCAGAAAACGACTCCTATACAATCATATGT